ACATCTAATCTAAAGGCCCATAATTATTAGGAACGCGTGATATATTTTATTTGGCCCGATAAATTAAAATATAATTAAAAAGTCCGAAAACTACAACTTTCGGGGCCGATTATACACACCGGGACACAATGAGATGACCTCCCACATGAGTGGGGGCCACCCCACGTTTTTATGTGCTCTAATTGACATAGTGAGAACCGGAAGAGACAAGAGAAGGTGTGTGTGTGCGGAGTTATTAAGTGAGGGGATGACATAAGTCACATTAGCCATTTTTTAGGACCCTACTCATGCATCATTTTGCTTGATTGAGTAGAGGTACCTCCCCCCTTCCCATTCCACTCATTCGGACCACACAAGGAGAGAAGAAGCTCCAGGAAGTCTCTCACAAGGTTGGAGCTTGAGACATGCAAGAAGAAAATAAATCCAAAGAGAAAGAGCTAATAATTGAGGTAAGAACACAAATAGTTCTTTTAACTAGTTTATTCTTGTATGATTTTGTAGAAATCATATGTTGGATTAAATATGATGTTCTACACGTTTAAGAAGTATAGAATATTGATATAAAGTGGAGATATTTAACTTAGAAGAGTTGATGAATCGATAGGAGTCGAAATCGTCGGAAACCGGCACTTAAAAGGACCTGCTCGAAGTTGCAGCCTGACAAACACCGCCCGGATTTGGTGGAAGCCGCCCGGCTTTTGTCCAGACAGTCAAGTTTTGCCTTCTTATCGGTTTAGGACGAGGATTAATCAGAGGGCTTAACAAAGGCAACTATTTCAGCACTTCATAAGGTGAGGATGGCTGACTATGTTGCTTATAATTAGTGAGTTAATTTCATGAGATTACCTAAGGAAATTAAATGTGTTTTTTATGGAATATTAATGATTAATAATGCCTAAAAATGAGAAGACTATTGTCTATGAGAAGGGAGCATGATATACAAATTTAAGAATAAATTATGTATGATCATGTGTTATGAGTATGTTGACTTGAAAATGGAATTAACTATGAAATGCATGTTGAAATATACTTTTTACTTCATATAAGAATATATGAATGATTAAAAGTGATATTTTGGTATATTGATATAATGATGATATTTACAATGGAAAATCAGTGGGGCATTCTATAAATGACCACGAATAGAGAACTTGGTTTTGTTGGGATTAATTGGACTAGTATAGATATACTAGTTGGACATTAAAATGAAATCTTGTTAACATTGATCCTAAGGTTGAATTGTGAAGTATTATGCCTTAAGCAGTCTTAAGAGATGCTTTAAGGTAGGAAAGTATGAACTTTAAGTTATACTAGGGGTAGACCTTATGGGATACCCAAGATAAATTGAATAATAATAAATTGATCCTAGGTATAGGATTGACCTACGGGCGTGTTCGGTAGTCCTTAAGGATAGCCGGTTGAATTATGGGAATAAGTAAGGGCCATGGCCCTTCCCGACTCTAGAGAGCGGGGTTGGATAGCATGGACTTGCATCGTGATCACGAGTTAGGGTGGAATCCGAATCGGAGACCTAACTAGGCTCCAGTAGCGGTAACACATAAGATAGGACCCCGAAGGGCCTTACCTTCCTACGAGATGATGGGTATGAGTCCAGGGGCGGGATGTTGAAATCCGAACCGAGAGCCTCATGGGGTCTCCGACAGCGGTAGCAAATCCCGTATTAATAATAAGACCCACGGGTTGGGTTGTACAAATGATAAATGCAAGGAAATATATAAGAAGGGCCGCGTGTCGACAAACAAATGAATTCACTTATTATAGAGATAATAAGTGTGAAATATAAATAAATATTTATATTATGATATCACCCTATTTTGAAGGTCTTAGAAATTAAAGCGTTGATTATACTCGGTATAGTTGTCATTGTACTTGTCAAATGCTTCCAAGTACTGACCCCCCCTTCACGGGGGAGGCCACCTCACAGTTTCAGGTAGAACATGAAGGTTGCTACCATCGCCCGTTGCACCGGGAGGATCAAGAGAAGAAGACGTGGTTCATGCTTCTTCCGTTTTTCTGATTTTCAAAACAATTATAATAATGCTCATGGATATTATTTTTTTATAATTATTTGGGGGCTTGTATGGCCATGTTTTCCAAAGTGTGGCATAGACACTTGTATTAAATGCTTCCGCTGTTTTAAATGAATGTTTTACATTATGTTTGTTTATGGATGTACTATGTGTGAATGGTATTCAAGACGCCTTGTATAGTATGGATGAGTGGGACTGCGGTTGACTATTCATACTGTACGGCGGGTTGTTGACGTGTCCGGGTAGGTCCGGGGCATGACAGACGAGGGCCGTTTCAGCCTTTCAGGCTTGTTTTGGCCTTTGGGCCCGTTTTGACCCACTTTGGCCCATTAAGGTAGAAATACACCCTCCCCCCTTTCTCTATAAATAGAGGCTTTCCCACCATGTTTTGGGTGGGTCTCTTCTTCCCCACTTCCTCCGTCTTCTCTCTAAGAATAGCTAGCTAGCAACCTCCATTAATGCAAGCTTCATACTTGTACTATGTAAATGGTGAGGAGCTTAATGAGAATGAGAGTGGCTTGGACATTAGCCTAAAAAGTCCCGTGGTTTTCTCCCTTTCGGGTTTCCACATTAAAATCATTGTTCATATTTTATTATCACCTCATAGCCATGAAATCCTCCCGGAAGGGGTGTTGAACTTCCGGGCTGCGGCGAATAAACTCAACAATATCTTATTGTTACGATTGCCTATTTATCTAAACTACATATGAAATATTCAACTCGGACATTGTTTAAAATCGAACCACCATTTTCAACCCCCTGAGCCACTTTTCTAGCTCCGCCGCCCCTGCCCACAGGGAAGCTCATAATCAAATGTGATTCAAAGCTGACGGTGGACAAGATCTTAGGCTTGTACAAAGCTAAGGAACAAATGATGAAGCTCTAAAAAGAGACCACTTGAACTCCTTGGGATATTCTAGTGCTAAGAAATTCGGCAGGTACCAAGGGTGGAAAATGTTGAGGTAAACATTCTCTTCAAGCTTAGCAGTCAGTCTCCAGAGTACATCTCCATAGATCACCCACATTGAGGAGTTATCTACATCAACACCGTACCCAACCTTGTCCATTGCATCCAACAATGACCGAGACACTGTATTACTAACATCAAAATATATATTGTCGAGGGTAAGTTATCAGAAGATGAGACAAAGGCCAAGATTGTCAAGTTTATAGTCCCAAGCTAACCATCCATTAGGGCAAGCCATACAAACACTTTTATAATGGGGCACTTCTTCATTGTCTCCATTTGGTTGAGGCTCTGAATGCTACATAAGAGGTACACTCTTGAATTAGCTCGACTCATCAGCACCCCTTTGCCATGTCCCAGAAGTTAATCCTCCGTGGTTACTTCTGGACGAGCACAGCTAAGGACTTTGCCAACCTAGCAAGAACGTGCGAATCTTGCCACCAAATATAACGTATGGTAAAATGCACTTGGAGCGTGACAACGACACAATGACCTTTTCGATCACACCAAACTGAAATCGAGACTTTCAACATTGAAAATCGACGGGTTGAGTTTCACAATTCTCATTGTCAATTACTATCTTAATCGTCGGAGGGGATGGTGGCAACGACATGCAAGTGCTGATGAAGAAGAAGTTATAGATCGTAGCTGCAGCGACAGAAGGTGCGAACGACATAGTTGGCATTGGCAGTGTAGTCGACATAGGCGGCGTAGACGAGACAAATGACATGGAGGTGCGAGCAATAGTGTGGATGAGAAGAACGGGAATGGGATGTATAGTCATTGGACGAAGTTAGTGTCATTGTCATTAGGAAAAATATGATGTCACTCGGCATGCCATAAATGTCATATAAGTAGACTTGTAAACTTTTAGAGTTGTCCTATTTTTGTTCTAAGACTTCTGTTTGAAAACTACTCACTCCCTCTGTCTCTTATAATTTTGTAAACTTTCCTTTTTAGTTGTTTCACTAACTTTGTCACTTTACCTTTTAAACAAGGAATTTATGGTTCAAGTTATTTTTCTTAACTCCCCACAAAGCTCAATCACATAATTTTTATTTTATTAGTCGTGCGCTGTTCAAACTTGGTCAAATTTTAAGTGACAGAGGGAGTATATTATTGTTGACAAAATCCTTACTTATAAAGGGGAAAAGTACCATTAATAAAGTGTCTCACTTTGACTTGACACAATTATAAATAAAGGAGGTAAGAGTCAGATTGGTCCTCGAAATTGCATAAAAAGGGTCAAATAAGTCCTTATTGTCCGGCCATCACCATTTGGGGATGTTCCCGGTGAAATTTTTTGATGAAATATTTTGAGCATCTTATTCATTAAGTCTAGTTTACTCATACCAAATTTCAGCTAAAACTTCAACCGGGAAGGCATTAGAATGAATTCTTGAAGGTAACTGTGCTTTTAACTGCGCAGTTATCTTCAAGACTTCATTTGAATGCCTTCCCGATTGGAGTTTTAGCTGAAATTTGGTATGAGTAAACTAGACTTAATGAATAAAATGTTCAAAATATTCCACCGGGAACCGCCCCGAATGGCGATAGCCGGATAGAGCTTCCTATATAAGAACTTATTTGACCCTTTTTATTGAACTTCGAGGACCAATATGACATTTACCTCATTAATAAAGTGATTGAAAAAGTTAAAGTTGTGTTTGAGATTTGAATATAATAAAGTGAAATATTGTATGACACATATTTCTTTTGAAAAGAGTAAATGAGACACTTATTTTGAGACAAACAAAAAAGAAAAGTAGAAGATCCAGAATGGGACGCAAGTAAATACATTTTCCTAGTCATTATTCCTTTTAATATCCGTGGATTGAAAAATTCCAAAAGTACACACTTTTTTGTATACACACTTTTTACACATGTTTATGTAAGATTTTTTTTGTCTGTACAGACAAAACCTATTTTACAAAATAGGTTTTGTCAAATACTTTTTGTCTTCAAGATAAAAAAAAAACTTAGGAAGACATGTGTAAGAACCGTCTACAACCCAAGCAAATTCCCGGTGGATTAACGATGAGATCTGACACTCTGACAGCTCCAAAACTGATCTGATCACCGTTTGAGGCATACTTCATAGCTGCTTCTGCAGCTTCCCCCTTGTCGCCTCCGTTCTGCAGAAAAAACCCTCCAAAGTTTTAACAACGGATTCATATGTGCGGACATCTCCCAGACCACAACCCCTGCTGTGCATCTGACCCAGCTAACCTGGAGCCAAACATCTCTCCACCACCGGAAAAGAAGAAACGAAATTTCACTTCAGACCAAGCTTGTTGACACCACGGCCGAGGCCGGTCGAGGCACCCGATTTCTCCCCAGGTTAGGAGCTTCATAGAGTTCACACTAGAATTTAGAGAAAAAATAAATAAGCGTATGCCTTTACCAATCTGTTCTTGACTAATTTTGGCATCTATAGAGCATTCCTTAAATAAATAAGTTTCCATGGCAGGCAATGACCTGCCAACTCTGGGCCGTGTCACGCTTGTTGACCTAATTCCATCAGAAGGCCTTCCTTCCGATTCCTACAAATTATCAGCCTCTACCCTGTCCCAATCACTAGCTCATTATTCAGCAGCCATTATCAAGCTACCAGCCAGCGATGGTGCTCTCTTAAGGTCTTGTCTTGAGTCTGTCCGACTCTACTTTCACCAAAAGCCTTCATACCCTTCCACCGATGATGTGATTCATCCTGATGATTCTCGGGAGTGGTGCAAGACGTCTGGCTACCATTCAGATCCTCAACTATGGCAAGAAACATTTGACTTTCGACCAGGATTAACTCCTACTGACCCCAATGATGGAGTTGAATTTCCACCAGCCGGTTTAGCAGACGTGTTTGCATTACTTGGCAAAACTGCTAGATGCGTACTGGATGCCATTAGTTTCTACTTAAACCTCCGCAGCTCACCCTTCACTGAAATTCTTGACAATGTACCTTTGAGGAATCGTGAGATATCATCTTCGGTTTTATCTGTTTCGTGTCATGGAAGGCCATCTTTTCAACACCATAATCTAACGGGTCAAGATGGTGGGGATCAGTTGGTTATGCTATCAGATCACGAGCATCAGGTTGATAGAAGCCTTTTAACTATTCTCAAGACAGATAGGCCGGGATTACATGTCCGAGATTTTCATGGTCGTTGGGTTCTTGTAGATGGTGACCTTGGACCACAAGAAGCAATCATTTATACAGGACTTGCTTTGTACCAGGCAACTGCGGGAAATATCAGCACTGCCGTTCATAGGATGGATATTGGCAATCTGCAGGGGCATCATCTGCTTGGAGGAATATGTTCACTGGCTTTTAAACTCATGCCTAAATCCGTAGCTAGTCTGAACTGTTCTGAGATGAGAGCTGCTGGCTACGGCGTTGAAGCTCATTTTCAACTACCCCTACCTGTAGACGACTTCATGCAGCGATCAACTGATCAACTACTCAATAGGAACAATTTTCCCACTTTCAGTTTCGCCACTACCCAAGACGGTAGGCACTGCAACTTCATTTTTGCTAAGTAGTACTAAAAATTACTCCGTAACTTATAATATTACCTGGCTAGATTCCCTCTCCTTATTTGTATTCCTAAAATGGCTTATATTTTTGTTAGGTCGACATTATATCATTAATATCCCAATTGAAAGAGGTCCACTTTAAACAATGTGCTACTGCTTGAAGCATTTTACCTGATTTCATGTGTTGTTTTGTAAAATGAGTCCATGTTCAAAAGAGAAGATGCTAATTTGAAGGACCTTGGCCTGGATGCTCCACATGTAATGCCTTTAGTTGAAACAGAAGTGTGTCTAAATTGCTGGAAATTTGTAGCTTTGGTTGTAGACTTATAGTTGTGAACTTCATTGTTGTATTGGAGATTAATGCAAATTTGAATAATTTAGTTTTCATCTCATTTCTGGAAAAGAAATGGGAAAATTAACGTTCTTTGGAATTTTTTTCTGAAATTTGAAGAATAGGCCCCGGTTTGGTAAGGTTCATTTGGATGAAATGGATAATCTGAATCTGCTTATTTTTCTGAAACAAAAAGCTATTGATAAAAATTTCCATCATTTTCAATGGAGCCAAAGACTCACTATTTTTTGGCTTGGGAATATGATGGAATAAATCAAAATGGAATAAATCAAAATGGCTCACTAAATTGTCTGCGCTTCTTTGTTATGAAGTCAATTTTCGACGCGATTTTCACTATGGGTCATTCAGAAACAGTCTCTCTTGGTGCTTTAGTACAGGGGTAAGATTGCGCACATCCAACCCCCTTACGGCCTTACCCCACCGTAGGTGGGAGCCTTTGTGGCACTGGGGTAATGATAATGATGATGGTGGTGATGATGATGATGAAAAAGCGATCGATAAAACATAATTTAGCCAAATAAGTGAATGCTACTTATTCTCATTAATCTGTTGGCAAGCAAAACTATCTGAATAATGCTACTAAACAGGGGCTTAGTAGTTTTTTGAATTTAAAAATATCACATTTTCAAATCGATTCTTTACCACTCCTTTCTTTAGTGAGAATCTTTTAACGATAGGAACCTGGCGGATCAATGAAATGCTGGTTACAGGATCTGTGAGGACATCCGAGACAATGAAAAGGAAGAACAAATCAAGATCTAAAGCTCTTCCTCCTTCAAAGAGGTTACGGCTGGAGGCACAGAGAGTTCTCAAGGAGAGGGTTCAGGACATTGCCGATAAGAAGGGCATAAAGATGAAGTTCTGCAACCTAAAGGATTGTGAGACCCATATTCAATCCACTGACAGTCCATGTGCTTCCATTAGGATGGAGATAGGGTGGCCACAAGGAGTCCCGTTTGCTCATCCACATGATCTTCCAAACAAGGCAAAGCTTGGATTTCTTGAGGCCTACGAACCTGGTTGGTCTGCCACACATGATATGGAGTTAAGTCTTTTCGAAACTGGAAAGCCAAGTCATCAACTTCCTCGCCTTAATTGTGACTCTCTAATTTTTGCCTTGATTTGATTATTCATTAGTTGCTCCCCAGCATTACCCATCTTTTAAATAGTTACCCCCCCATCACATAGATAAGGAGGGCTGTGTTTCAAAGCTTATTCCAGACAAGTTTAGTTTAACAAACAAATTAATTTTTGTAAATATAGGGGGTGTTTGGAACCGATTCTGATTCTGCTTCTTTTTTAAAGAAAAAGCAGAATCAGAATCAATTCACCCCCAGCTTCTAAAAAAACTGATTCTAGGAGTAAATTAGAGCACCAGAATCACTTCTGCACTTTTACCCAAACACTCCAACTTCTGCTTCTGCTCCCTGAAGGAGCAAAAGCAGTTTTAAGAATCAAATCCAAACACCCCCATAATCAGGATTGATAGTTTACATGAGTTGTACCTTATCCTAATTGACAGGTTGTACCTTAATGAAACACAGTTTACAGGACAGAGAGAAGTTATTAATCTATCAACAAGGAAAGAGGGGGGTGCCCAGTCTTAGCTGATGGTCTTTAGATATTTGAATATAACGATTACAGTTACATTTCAGTACACCAAAGGATTATACATCATCCCTGCAATTTTAAAGTAACTAATTTGTACTCCCTACGTCCCATTGGACTTTTTGTCAATTTTACTTTTTTGGTTTTTCTCAAAAACTTTGTCACATTCCCTTTGAAGTAACTAATTTGTGGTTTTGCTTATTTCTCTCTCATCTGTAAAAACATCAAAGACAATTTTATTTTTCTTATTGTTCAAACTCCAAACCTTGCAATGTCCAGGGAGGTAGTAAATACATTGGAGTTTTTTTAATCTATTACCATTTTTAGCATACAATGACTTTTTGACGTGTGACAACAATTGAATTTAATTATGTTTCTCATGTTTAATTATATATCTAAAAAATTACCAATATACCCCTCTCCCCCATTTTTTGGTGTTTTACCCTGACATTATTACACCATCACTTATTTCTGATTGGCATCTGATTTTCTATTTAATTTGTTTTTGTAGGAATCCATCTCTGGAGTTTCCAGAATGAATTTACAGGTTTTTCATTTTTTGGTAGTCCGTGGTTGGGTGGGTGGGCAACATGCTTTTGCCTTGTTCTGCATTGCTAGTATGTATGTAATAGGTAGTGCTTTGTTTCACTTAAGTTATCTTTGTTATGCTGTATTTTTAATGGGCATTTTTTTGGGGGCGGGGGAATATGCAAAATTCCTGAATAAATGTTACAGGTTGGGACTTCAACGGTTCAACCATAGCTTTATGTAGATACGATCATAAAATATATAGAGATGAGAAATGTATATCAGTATATGGGGTGGAATATGTCTCCTTTTTCAAGTCTGTAACACATCACACTGTGCATGCATTTCATAAGATTACAAACACAGAATGGACCCGGGTCAGTCCCGGTTCTGGGCCGAGACTGCCCGCAGTGGCGGATCCACAAACAATACTTATTGGGGGCATAATATCAATTAAAATAAACATATACGATAGTACTACGTACGTACAATTAGATCTAGAATCCGTTTGATGATCCTGTTTTTCGACTTATCAAGCTTATCGGCCAACTTAATCACCAAAGATATAACTTTAGATTTCACACTTCTCCAAAAAAAAATTAAATTTCACGCGCTGAATTGTGTAATAATAATAAAAAAATTAAGATTAAAATTACTTTTCTTGTTGTATTGGTTGAAGTTACTGTATAATAATAAACTTTATACATTTCAGTAGAATCAACCGATTCAACCAATTTCAATGTTAACAAATGATCTCCTATTTTAGATAAACTAACGAACTTTTAGTCACTCATATGATACAACATCTCACAAATATCTATGGACTATGGGGGCATGAGAAAAAAAATAATGGGGGCAAACTCTTTCTATTAAAAATAAAATTGCAAAAATTACTATATTATCAATCAATTATTAAAAGTTTATTGGGGGCATGTATTCTGATCTGATCTTAACTTTCTAAACCGGTATATAATAATAAAATAATAATAATAACTATTATTATTATAATTATAATTATTTAATAATAATAATAATAACGATAACAATAAGAATAAGAATAATAATGATAATAGTGATAATAGTGATAATAATGATGATGATGATGATGATGATGATAGTAGTAGTAGTAATAGTAATAATAATAATAATAATAATAATAATAATAATAATAATAATATAATCGATAATAATAGAATGTTTCCAATTTGCTATGAATGTTTCTGATCTGATCTGAATGTTTCTGATTTGATCTGAATGTTTCTGATCTGATATGATCTGAATCTTTCTGATCTGATCTGATCTGAATCTTTCTGATCTAATCTGAATCTTTTGATCCGATCGGAATTTTTCTGATTCGATCTGATCTGAATTTTTCTGACTGATCTGATGTGATCTGATCTGAATAAAATAAGAATAAAAAATCAGTAATAAGAATAAGACGAACAGAACAAACTAGGCGCAAATTGTGACCATTTTAAATCGTAGGCGCAAATTAGGGTTCGTTTAAAACAAACCCTAGAAATGGACACAGTTTGGGAATCGCACTCAGAACCTGAACTCGGAGGGCTAGGATCGAGACTGGCTTGTAATAAATCGATATTGGAATCACTTCCTGAAGTATGCGATGACAGTCAGTTGATCTGGTCTGATTCAGATTATAATTTTTTTTTATTGATCCAAATCAATCAAAAATAAATAAATAAATAAATTATAATCCAAATTATAATTTATTTTTTAAAACTATTATATATTTAAAATAGCAAAATTATTATTAATATTGGAGAGAAAATTCCTTCCCAATGAGACATGAATTGCTATGCATGTAAACTAATACAAAAACATCCAAACCTTAATACCAATAGAATTTGAACTCGGCTAACATGAATGAATCCATGATATCGATGTCTAAAAGAGAAGACAGACAAAAGGGGGGCATGGATGCAACACGAAGACTTCCCAGGGGTCACCCATCCTAGTATTACTCTCGCCCAAGCACGCTCAACTTCGAAATTCTGATGGGATCCGGTGCATTAGTACTAGTTAGGGGTGGATTCGGTTTGGGCCACCCGGCCCGGCCCGCTACTGTGCGGGCCCGGGACCGGACCGGTCTGGCGGTCCGGGACCGGGTGTAGACCTGAACCGGGGGGGTGGGCGGGGCGGGCGGGGCGGGCTCGGTTCTGGCAAAAGACGACCCGGCCGGGTCGGGCCCGGGTCCGGGTCTAACGGTCAGATTTAATTTTTTTTTGCTTTTGGGCCACAAAGAGCCGTTGGGAGTGGGCTGGGGACTACCCAAACGGCTATATAGCCGTTGGGTGGCCTGGCAGGGGGGGTCCGGGCGGTTTGGGGGGTGGGGGTGGAGGTGGGGTAAAAAAAACTATAAATACTCCTAATCTTAAACATTTTTTCATATCCTAATCATAAATCCTACACTCTACTCTCTAATTATCTACTTCATATTCATCTTCTCAAAATCTCAAATTCTCTTATTCTCCAATATATTATTATATCTACTTATATTATTTATCTACTTATAAATACATATATTTATATTACTCATATTTCTTATCTACTTATACATTAATTATCTACTTATAAATACATATATTATATTAAGATGGAAGGTGGTAGATTTTCGGTTGATATGGGTAACCTCGACCGCAGGTCCGCAACCGAAGGAACGAGCTTGCGAGGAAGAGATCCCGTAAAGGTAAATCACATATCGGCTCTTCATCTCAAAGCCGGGATGATTTTGATACGGGTTACGCAAGGAGGGATGTGGATGCGATGACCGACGAACAACTAGAACAAGAATTGCACCGACATAATAGCCACTTTTTCCATGACCAACCGAGGACCATTGACGAAGAAGAGCTCGAGGACGACGATGTGGAGGAAGTAATTCCGGAGAGCCACGGCGACGACGAGGAGGATGGTGGTGGCAGACACGACGCCGACGAGCCTACCTCATCCCAAACCGGTACGAAAAAAGTAAATCTGAACTAATGGCTAATAATTTTTCTAAGTGGAAGGACCCGAACACCGGGAATTGGACCGCAACTTGCAATTGGTGCAAGAAAAATTATAGCTTGGGGATTTCCGGCGGATACGGATCCGCCACAAGACATCTTAAGTCCAAACACCCGGTGGAGTATGCAAAATTAGGCAGCAGAACGGGGAAGCAAACTCAAATATCGAGGTTTGCAAATAACCAACAAGCTTTTGGTAATTTCTCAAACAATGATGCACAAAATTTGACTGGTATGGCTAACTTACTTGTTGAAGAAAATTTGCCTTATTTGTTTTCTGAAAGTCTTGCTTTTCGTGATTATGCACAAACTTGTTTAAATCCTCAATATAGAGGTTATAGTCGCAAAACGGTTAAGAAAGAAATTTCAAGGCTTTATGGTGCGGAAAAGGTAAGGTTACAAAATTATTTTGCAAACTTTGATGGGTGTGTTAATGTATGTTCTGACATATGGGAGGATACTTATCATAATTTATATTATTTGGGTCTGACTGTACATTATATTGATAATGATTGGCATATGCATAAACGTGTTCTTTCTTTTCGTGAATTTAATGATCGTCACACCGCTGAACATATTTATATTTTGATTTAGCGTATTTTAATTGAGTATAATTTAATTGATAAGGTGTTTGCTATTGGTTTTGATAATGCTACTAATAATACTGCTGCTATTCCTAGATTGCGTGAATTGTGTGGTTCTACTTCTTTGATGAGTAGATTTTTCATCAACGATGTGCATGTCATGTTATAAATTTATGTGTGCAAGATGGTCTAAAAGCGTTGGGAGCATCTTTGGAGGTGGTCAAGGGGGGATTAGACGTATTTGGGGTAATGGATAACTTAGAAAAAAATGACATGATTATTTGATAGAAAGAGGTGAGAAATATGTGGCTTTTCCTAAAGATTTGTCTATTCATTGGAATAGTACTTAGAAGTTAATTGCAGTTCTTCTTAGATATAAACAACATTTTCCTGCTTTTATGAAACAATATGATAACTATATTATAAACTCGACTGAGATCGACACCTGTGAAAAAATTTGTAATGCTTTGATATATTTTAATAATGCAACTGAAACTTTTAGTCATGTTTATAAACCTACCTCAAACCAAAGGACCGGGAGGTGCGGGAAGTTCCGATTGATTACAAATTTACAATTTACAAAATGTATTTCATATTGTGTTTTTTTCTTAATTGTCAAATGTAGTTCCTATTTCATTTTAAATAAATGCACTTGAAGTTTATTTTTAATACTTTTATAAAACTATAAAGTAAAAAAAATGGATTTAACCGGCCCGGCCCAGCCCGACGGGTGGCCCGACCCGTGACCCGGGCGGGTGGCCCGGCCCGGAACCGTCCAGACCTCAGGCCGGTCACGGGCCCATCACTTACAAACCGACGGCCCGGCTCGGGCCCGACCCGACCCAAATCCATGCCTAGTACTGGTATGATCGAATTATTTGAGTATGAGATAATCAATTTGATTATGAAGTCTAATATCACTGTGCCGATGTAAACCGATTTTCCGTTATGGTCCAATTCTGACCGGTATTAAATGTCAGGGTGTTGTAGTATTTGATCGATCACAATTCTATAGATTCCATTTACTATAAAACTTTCCAGAGATTAAAACTATTGTCGTATTTCAATCTTTTATTACATAAATGTTTAAATGTGAACAATATTTCGGCATCTTTTTTCCCTTCTTTTTAATATCGTATCATTCTAATGTCATCTAAAATATTACTATACATATTAAAGTTATAATACACGTTTTTATGAAATCTAAAGTAGCAAAGTGGTTGCTAATTTTCACTCCACAAACCCTGCGCAAATTGGAGATATTTTACTCTCACCGTATTCTTTTGTTTGCTATACTATCCCTTTTATAAAAATGAAATACAGAGTATCATATTAATAAATGTAATACGATAGTAGTAAATAAGGAGATAAATAATATGGTAAGTTGCATTTTGACAAACTTATAAACAAGTCACATTTTGTCTTTTAATGTGAGTTACAATTAAAGCAAAATGGTAAATCACATTTTGGGAGTCTACAATTATGCAATGTGAGCTCCTAACATAGGTGGTGGAATTAAGGTAGAACGAAGAGTGAGAAAAAATCTTTTTAAAAACAGAGAATGAATTATAAGAGAAATACGCAAATAGAGAAATGAAATAAAAATAGCGGAAGAAGAAGAAGAAAAAATTAAAAAACCTATGTGTGAATAAAATTTGACAAAAAAATCTTCTAACAGAGTGAAAAATAGAATACATAAATATGTAAAAGAAAAAAAGAAAAAGATGTAGAAGGGAATACAAAATGTCAGGGATAAAAGATGAGATTATCTGTTTAATATTTTTCAAAGAAAGGTAAATACCTGAAATAGCAGGTCAACCGCCAATAGGGCCCAACAAAATGGTAAAAGTGGAATTATTCTTGGTCCAAGAGGTGGAATCTCCCACCCCAGGAGCCCCCCATACCCCGACCCGACAGGATTTTTGGAAGGATGTTAATCACGGTGACTCAGTCGGTCCAATGATGGTAGGCCTTTTTCCCGTGCGCACCAGAGACCCAGCCTTATTTCAGGTTCTGTGACTTCCACAAGGCCGCTGCGGGTTTCGAACCTTGGTCACTTGGTCCAAATTTCCCACCACTGAACCAACTGAGCTACCCGTGCGGGTAAAGTGGAATTATTCTAATATTATGTAAATATGAGCTTATTTTAAAAAGACCTATGAAATGTGAGATTATTATTGTCAATTTTTCCAATATAAAATTGATAGTTGCTAGCTTTCATGTAATGTGCGCTTCATAAAGTTTCTAAAATATTATCTTAACAAAATTTCCATCAAACATCTTACACTCATATATGTCAACCTTGAGATATTTTCATTTGAGAGAAGCTCTTAGCTCAAACACCGGGAAAGATTCAAGATTGTCTTAGGAAAGTGAAATTTTTTGTTGGAGGGGAGTTTGGGGATGTTCTACATAGAGTTGCACCACAAGCGCTTCACTCGTCATTGACTTAATCGGGATAATCACAGGTGGTTGCTGCCACTGTTTGGTGCCTGTGGAAACCCATATTCTACTTGCACTACTGCTGCTATCTGGGAGAGCCCGAAAGTAACCTGTTATTTCCCACCTGCAATCTGTGATCAGAGATGACATACAACTTAATTTTGAGATGCTCTTTTGCAATGGTACTATATTTTATCTAACACTCTTTTACCAAATTTAAAAGCAAAGTTAATCCATCTACTTTGTTGTTTCATTAGGATTTTCAGATTGAATATTTTCTGTCTAGTATCATACTAAGAATTTAGATTTAATCCGAAAATACCTATTATTATTATTATTATTATTATTATCATTATTATTAGTAATAGTAGTAGTAACCCGAAAATACCTATTATTATTAGTATAGAAATTGCCCTAAATAGGAGCAAAAATGTTTTGAAATTCCAAAATAGGAGTATCATGTTTTTTATTCCCTGAACGGAAGTAATCTGCCAAGTTTGGAAGAAAATGACATGTTTAAAGCCTAGTAATGCAATGTTTGGCAGAAATTTACTTCTATTTAGGGAATAAAAAACATGATACTCTTATTTTGGAATTTCAAAACTTTTTTACTCTTATTTAGGGAATTCTCTCTTATTAGTAATAGTAGTAGTAACCCGAAAATACCTATTATTATTATTAGTAACAGTAGTAGTAATATTAGTAGTAACAACAATAATAACAATCACAATATCACAATAGTAATAATAATAAAAGAAATTGTCCTAATGAGACCCTAAATAGGAGTAATTACTCTCATGCTTAGAAAATATTGTCAATCATGACATTGGTATTGTCATATTAATGTATGCCAATGTGATAGGAGTCCTAAGGTCTTGAGGTTGAGGGAAAGATAGCAATGAAATAAGGTTTACCAGGAGGAAGAGTATGGGTCAAAGAGTATGAAATGGCAAGCTTAATCAAGATAGACCTAAATGAGAGTTCTAGGTCAGCAGCAGCAGCAGCTTCTTCTTCCACACTCGAATCATAAGACTGCTTCACATCTATCTTGAAAATAAACCTCTCTATTGGAACATTTTGGTTATCAAAAAAAATTACTGCAACTCTCTCCACTTCCCCCTACATCAAGAGAACTTCAACACCATTAGAGTAAACTAAAAACAAATACTACCTCCGTCCCGTACAAAGGTTCCCGTCCACTGTTCTTTGGTCAACATAAAAACTTCTTAATCTTCTACTTTATATATCTATTGTTTTTATCAAATTGAGTTTTGTTTTTGTGACTTTATGAAACTCTTAATGCAGTTTCTGGATATCTAAATTTTATTTACTAAAAATAATCTTATTATCAGATAGAGATCAATTAACTTTAAGGTCAGTCAAACATCGTAAGCCGCGTGGGAACCTTTGTACGGGACAGAGGGAGTACCAAACAAGTGTAAATTTGTTATCCAATAAATTCGAAAAAGAGAATAGAAACCTTTTGGATGAAAGGAAGGAGGCCATTGACAGAGGAGTGAATATAGTCCCTAAGCTCAGGATGGCGAGATTTATGAACCACAACATTTAGGTATCGCCGCCTCTCAAATGCCCCTGACACTTGAAACTCAGTCATTCACTCGTGTGTGTGTCGTGACAGGAAGTTATGCTGCAAGATGAACCTACCAGTTGAGTAGACGCCTTTGAGGAAGACAACGGAGTTGATGGCCACTTCCAAGAATTCTACCAGAACCCGAGCTGTTCGGGTTGCTGAAACAAAGTGAAAAGGTGGTACAATTTTCAAAGACGCGATTTATTTTTTTAACATCATGAAATAATTTACCTTGAATGGCTTTCCAATCCATGTCTGCACACTTCGCCATTGCCGCCCACGCCGCAGCTTCTGTCCTCTCTCTGGGAAACAATAACTCATCCCCTCACACCCGACGTTCTGGTAACAACACACAAACTCATCAGCAACTCCTCATACGTACCAAGACCTGGCGACCTATAACCATTATTAAATTGATGATCATGAAAAAAAGGATAACAACACACATCTACTCACTACCAGTTCTAACCATTAGCAAACCAAGCCCAGTTGAGTAACTAAACACCTTACAGAACAAAAGAAGAAGATAAACTAATCAACACAATGATTAGGTGTCTCTAGTAGACTAGTAGTTTATAGTTAAATAAAGGACGTGTTTGGATGTACCATGTAAACCGATATGACAACAAAGACTGCTCTGTATTTGATCAAATCTGGGGTGGGTCTCCTTTGGCAGCATCTATAAGCATAAGCTACTCGCCACTGTTGAGACACTTTTTTAGATGAATGTATTACAAAACCAAATTCAGTTAGCATTTTTAAGCAACGAAGATATGAATGAAACACAAAGACAAGGTAGAATTTTGATGAATGAATCAGAAATGAAAAACCCTGGGATACTTCAATCAAAATTCAAAAGTGTAGTGCTATTGAAAATGAATACACCATACATATTTTTGTCAATAAGAGTATAAAGAAAACTTATTTTCTCTTAATTTTGAGCATGAAAAGCCTATAAAAGCTATAGAACAGGATTTGAGAAACCTAAGATTAAGCCATTCTAGTTCTAGGGAATTAAAGAACGATCCATGGCCATGCGAGTAACCAGTAATCGCCAAACAGAAAGAAATACCTCGTGTACATGTCCATCCTGCTTCTAGCACACCATCTTCAAATCTTCTTTGAATCGGGCAGTTCGAAATCTTAAAGGCAGTTTGATGGCTTTGTGAGTTATCATTCTAACGCTATCTTGAACACTTTTTTAAAGAGCCTTTATAAATATGATTTTATTTAATAAAATAAGCAAATATGGCAAAAAAAATTATCATTTTTTTGGAATTTTATTAATTGTTGAAAATTACCTATTCCGATTGAATTTAATTAAAAGTAATATTTTAGCTATTTTTCGTACAACTTTTTATACTTATAACATACTTTTATGTAATTGTTGTTTATACGAATGTTTTTACACTAAAAATATAGACATTTTTTTAATTTGGATTGGACCGGGACCAGAGTTGGTCACTCCCTAGCTACGCCCCTGGTGATGAGAAGAATGAGGTGTATGGAGAAGAGGGATGTGATATCTAGTTTCAGCATAAGAATGACCCAAAGCCCGTTTGGCAGCACGAAAATCGGATGTTTTGGCTGATTCTACTGAAATTTATGAAGTTCTGGCTGAAATGGATGCATTGCCCGATTCTGCTGATACAAGAAAAAAAATTTAAAATATATTTTATTAATAAAATAAAGAAAAAATTATATGTAAAAATAGCTAAAATGGTCATCTACAGTAACTTCAGCCAATACACCCAGAAAAGTAACTCCAACCTTACTTTTTCGGCTTATTACACAATTTAGCGCGTGAAAGCAAAATTTACGTGTTTGGTAAAAAAGTTGGTTGATAAGCCTGATAAGTCGAAAATGAGGCTTGCCAAACGGCTTGAATGAGGATTTCCAGCATTGAAGTGGAGAGAAATGGGAAAAGTGGGATCAGATAGTGGTGTGAACGTAGAGGAAATATGATTAGAGATTATGAAGATGGATGATAAAAACAATGGTATAAGTATAGGACTTATTTTTTGAGAAAAAAATAAGTATAGGATTTTTACTTAAATCCACTATGTTTTTTATGATGGAGATGTACAGAGGCAACTGATATTCTTTTATATGATTGCCTAATTTTTAGGTGCAAGTACAACGTGACGATTAGAGTTGGACTCGAGCCGGGTTGGGCCCGGGCCGGGCCGCCGGTTCTGAATAGATGGGCCCGGGACCGGCCCGAGTACCCACCGGGTCCGGTCCGGGTCCGAGCCGGGCCTATTATCAATTTTTTTCCCTCTTCCTAATTAACCCCCCTTCCACCCCCAACCCCCCAAACCACCCCAAATGGCCCAAAATACCCAGCCCAACCCGAAAATTGAAAAAAAAATTGAAAAAAAAAATCAATTTTGGCCCGAACGGGCCGGGGCTTGTTTTGGGTGACCCGAGCCCGGACCGGAAAACCCACGGGTCAAGCCTACCCAGACCGGTCACTGACCGGGCCACCGGGTCGGGTCGGGCCGAAACAGTACCGGTCCTGGGTGTGGCCACCCGGCCCGAGTCCACCACTAATGACGATGATGGAATAGTAGATGGAAGTGCAATGATCAATGCATCCCCAACTGAGGTATGATTATTTATAAAGATGCATTGGCCCTCTGCAACTATGTAGTCATCCTGTTTAGTTAGGAACTTGGGGTTATTGATCCTAGCAAAGCATTTACAATTTTTGAAAGCACTTCAATCGACTGATGCGTAGCAAAGCTGTGTATATCTAGAGTTAGAATATGATTTAACGAGAGAAATAAATAAATCTAGAAGATTGGATATGAGAATTGTGCATTGTTTGAAATAAAAATGTGAACTATCAATATAAAAAATAACTATAAATCTTAACTATAAATGTGTAACACAATTTTGCATCATTCTTATTTCTCGCGTGAAGTCAAGGACCATTCTCACCGTAACTGAACCTTGTATATGTGTCCAGGTTCAATCTCAAAATCTCGAAATCGGTACCAACTATAAATAGTACCCAAAAATGTACACGGTCCAATCCGATATCAATTCCGAATCGGTCGAGACTGCCGAACAAATTCCATGCCTAGTACGGGGTAAGCAAGAGCAAAAGCAGGGATGAACAAATATAGGAATTTCTCAAATAAATTTTAACACATAAATTTTTGAAAAAAAGACAGCATGTGTTATTGATATGTTTTCAAAAGATAAAAATGAGAGTATAAATGAGAGTATGTTACCTAGGCTTGGACTCGGGTCGGGCCACCCGGCCCGTGGACCGGCCCGGCCCGCTACTGTGCGGGACCGGGACCGGCCCGGTTCTCGGGTCCGGGTCGGGCCTAGGCCCGGGGGGTAGGGCGGGTCCGGGCTCGGGTCTCAATTTTGGTGAACCGGCCCGGCCGGGTCGGGCCCAGGCCCGGGCCAAATTGATTTTTTTTTATTTTTTTTTCATTTATGGGGTTCCACCCGGGTTGGGCTTGATGGGTAGGATGGGTTTGGGGGGGTTTGGGAGGGTGGGGGTGAGGGGGGGGGGGGTTAGGAAAGCAAAAAAAAAAAATCCAAACCGGAGGCCCGGCCCGGCCCAGCCCGGACCCGGTGGCTACCCGGGCCGGTCCCGGGTCCACCATTCTTGAACCGCCGGCCCGGCCGGGCCTAGGCCCGACCCGGACCCGGCCCGGACCCGAGTCCACCCCTAATGTTACCATTTGAGAATCTGAGATAGAAGGCATGAGTGTCCTTATATCTAAAAATCTAAGATGGTAAAACGACCAATATATATTTGAATACTTGACTACCTAATATTAGGAAGAGGGTGACACAAGGGAGAGGTCTCAGATGTCCAAGCAGCCTGACCCAAGACCGGTTATCCGGGACCAGTACCGACCCGATGCCCGAACCGTTGGATATATGGGGTGGGCTTTGGGTTTCAAAAACTTATTTGACTGCCTTCCCGATGAATTTTTTAGCTGAAACTTGGTATGAGTAAACTAAAATTAATAAATATAATGCTCAAAAAGTTTCATAAAAAAATTCCACTGGAAAGGTGCCGAATTACCCTCGACCGAACAGCGATTCCCGTTAGACTGACTGGACAGGAACATGACTCTATACTTATATATTATACAGTATACTATATAGTAGTTGCATTTTAATTGCATCTACTATACTCACATATTAATTGCATTTACCATATTTGTCACAATTTATTATTAAACCCACATTTTATTTACATTTTAATATTAGTTAGTAGTTACACTTTATTTGTACTTGATTAATCAATATTTGTTAGAGTTCTACAATTGTCACATTTTTAATATTAAAGTCACATTTTTATTGCATTATCATATTAGTTACGAGTTTAATATTAAAGTCACATTTTAGATACATTTTTATATTTGTTACATTTTCATATTAAATTCATAATTAGATATTAAACTCAATTGTACTTCATATTTCAAATAAATATATATTTAATTTATAATGTATGTCACTTGTTGAATTAATTTAATATTAAAAAAAATTAACTGAAACCTGGACCGAGGCCCGACCAGGTACCCAGACCGGAACTGAGGCATACCGGGCCCGGGCCTGACCCAACTCAAGCCCAACCCTACTCGTGATGAACCATCACTCTCTTTACACCCTCATAGGTGGAGTGCCATCCTTTTTTTGAATTATTATTGTTCTCTCCTTTGAATCTTTGCACATTCTCTCACATTGGTGAACGTAGAGATTTTCCATCTTTCAATTGTCTATTTATACAAGTCCTAGTATATGTGAAAAAAAGCCAGGTACGGACTCTACCAGGTGTCTCTTCCTCCGTATAGAACCGTGGACCGGCCGGTTTGAGAAGAGGCACCACTCTGGAACCAGAATGGTCCACCACTGCCGACGACTAAATAAAAATCTATTTAGTTCTATCCTCACCATCTTTACTAGATGTGATATCTTCCCTTCAATCACACACCTATTTAGGTATATCTTCAAAATAATGCAAATAAGTCATACAAAAACTTCAAAATATAATGACATATTTTTCCATGCTAAATTGATAGCAAAAGAACCGAGATTACACTTGCACATTACTGCCTTTTTTAGAAGCTCCAGATATTTCTGCTACTCAAGCAAAAAACATTCAAAGTCCCTCACTCCCCATAACATCCATAAGACTTGCTGTTAAGCGAGCAAATGACGATTTGGAAATATTTGTTCGCCTACATGGAGCCATGGATCTGAATCCTTCCCAGCACCTTCATATCTCAGCAATATCCCAAATAGTATCTTCCCCTGTTCAGATGCACATTGCTATAACAATGAAACGTGTCCAGAGAAAGCTATACTACTTGAATATACTTTTTGGCTCAAATGGATGTTACCCAAACGTTTATCCTTTGAAAAATAAAAAATCAACCAAATAACTCATACTCAACACAACCTTAGTTGTGGCTAACCTTAACTCTCCTGTATGCTGCTAAAGTAGCCAAAGGCTCATTCGACCTTTGCAGCTTTTCACCTCCGTGTGAATTTATGTTAATCACTTGGCACCGGCTGCATCCACCAAAGGACTGTGTGCGCAATGAAGCAAAAAAGTCACAATCAATAAGAACCTGGTTTCTCAGTTCATCAAATCAATCAATTATTATTTACTAAAAAGCAAGATTCTTCAGGTGGAAGCACTCACTGTAAATAATTTGCCTCCTATCTCAAGGCTCTTCCATCCATCTTCTGCATATGGTTCGCCCCCGGATATGACAAGGTTGGGTCGGAATCTCATCGTACTTACTTCAACCACCTTTGCATCAGCGCCTTTTTGTTGTGTGGCCAAATACAGAGCAACAAATCAATTCAGTTTCTAAAAAAACATAAGAACATTGGGTTGATCGACTAAAAAAACATAACCGAGCATTGGAGGATGAAAATGATGGCAACTTCAACTGCATGAGCAAGCAGTCGCCCAATTTATTAAAGATAACAAGGAAGTGTATAAAGTAAGGGGGTGGTACATACTTGAGCGTAACCTGTTGTTTAAATCAGCAACGCTTTCCTCAGAAACCATCAAAAATTGGGCCTCATTAACAAAATTCAACTTGGCTTGACTATCATTGCAACTCCCTGTGTTAGAGTTCCCATTGCCCCTAGAGCAGTTGCCTCTCAGGGAACCAGAATTTCGTAGCAGAGTGCAAGCTTGACCGACAGCATCACTGAACCAACTGTTCACTTCAATGACATAACTTTGGACTTTGTGCCTATCCAAAATGAAGGAAAAATTACTCAATCCACCCCAAAACAATTCTTATTTTGACCACAAAACGTTGATAAAGATTGTCATTTACGAATTCTAGAGATAACTTTAATTCTCTACCAAAACAATGCACACATTTACTCTTCTAAAAATAAAATTACTTTAGATCCTGTTTGTGTATAACAGATAAACACACTATTTCCTAATTTCACTGGAAATATTTGGATGTTTTTTCAACAACATCCAAGACTTGGTACAAGAAGAATTTGAGGTCGGCCAACATGAATCGATATATGAAATCAGAGCTAAAAAGATGAAAAGGATGAAAAGATAAATTAAAATAAAATAATAAGATAAACATAAAGACAAGATAAAGATAAAGATTAGACAAATATAAAAAAAGATAAGATAAATAGATAATAAGATAAGACAAAAAGATAAGCACTGCCCGAAATTGTAAGGAGTTCATGCGCATACGGGTCAAGTTGGATGTGGGTTTGCCCCTGAAACGTGGCATGAAGTTAAAGAAGGGTTCAGAAAGTTGCTGGATCGATTTCAAATATGAACGTTTACCGCATTTTTGCTTTATATGCGGTGTTATGGGTCATGTTGATAAGCACTGCCCGAAATTGTTTGAGGGCTTCTTGCCGGGTTCGGAAAAACCTTTTGGCTCTTGGTTACGTGCAAGTGGGCGTAGGAATTCTGGAAATAGGGGCAGTATTTGGTTGGCGGATGGGGAAGGCAGAATGGTGGGGACAGAGAGAGAGCTTAGGAGGGATTCATATCATTGTGAAGATGCTGGCAGGGGTGATGAGGGAGGAGCTGGGCCGACTGGTGAGACTGGGGCAACGACATCTAATGTCTCAGGTGGGAATAGAGACGGAAGTCTCACTGTGTGGATGTCAGAAGATCGCCAGGGAAGGGAAGGGTTATTGAAAAAACGCAAGGCAGAAACCTTCAACCACATTGTCGAGAGCTCCTGTGGCAGATTGGAGGATATAGGGTCAAAAAACGGATTAGAGGCGGGTCCTGGAGTTCAGGCCCGCCTAGAACTATGAGTTGCTTGAGCTAGAACTGCCGGGAGCTAGTTATGGAGTTAATTCGGAAGAAGATTAATATAGAAGGCTGTTTTGTTGTTGATTGTGTCGGGCATAGTGGTGGGTTAGCACTTCTGTGGGAACACGGCATTCGGGTTCAAGTGCAGGACTTTTCTCGCAATCATATTGATGCTTGGGTATGGTTAGAACAGGATGATCCCATGTGGCGTTTTACGGGATTCTATGGCTGCCCAGAAAGGCACCGAAGGAGGGAATCCTGGGAACTTTTGAAGCTCTTGAGAACACGCTCTCATATTCCGTGGCTGGTCATGGGTGATTTCAATGATCTCCTTTATGCGTCGGAGAAGCGTGGAAGATTACCTCATCCTCCGTGGTTGCTCAGAGGCTTTCGGGAAACTGTTTGGACTAGTGGTTTAAATAATGTTTCTTTTCAAGGTTATAGTTCACTTGGGAGCGGTGGAGGGGGACTCCAAACTGCGTACAGGAGAAGCTTGATAGAATTCTTGCTTCTGATAGTTGGCTGGACAGATTCGGAGGTGCTGTTGCTGAGTCTCTCGAGGGATCCCCAAGAGATCATCTAGCATTATATATCTGTTTGGCCCCAGCCCGGGGTGAATCGAAGGTGAAGATTTAAATTTGAAAATGTGTGGCTTCGAGAAGATGATTGTAAAGAAATTGTGGCTCGTAGCTGGAATGCGGCAAGGGGACACGGCGTGATTGATCAAATAGCGGGCTGCAGCCAGACAGTGAATGAGTGGGGCCGAGGGAAGGTTGGCTCTTTTGGAAAACGGCTGGGTTTTTGCAGGAGGCGGTTGCATTACTTACGGGGTCGTTCCGACTCATGGGGACTGGCCGAGTTTGGAAGAGTGAAGGGGGGGGAGTATTTGGATTTGCTAGAAAAAGAAAATAAGTACTGGCGGCAAAGGGCTAAGAAGTTTTGATTTAAGGGGGGGATATGAACACCCGCTACTTTCACACCGCGGTCAAGCAGCGGCGGAGGAAAAACAGGGTGGAGGGTTTCAAGCTTGATAGTGGGAGATGGGAGAAAGACCGAGGAGAAATTGGCAGAATTATCTGCGATTATTTCACGAACATTTTTTCCACTGCACAGGGGGGGATAGCACTTTTGTTTTTCATTGCGTTGGAATGAAACTGGGGGAGGCTGCTAATGATGAACTTCTACGCCCCATTAAAGGGGAGGTAGTCAAATCAGCTCTCTTTTCTATGTATCCTGAATCCCTGATAAGTCTCCTGGTCCGGACGGGATGAGTCCGGGTTTCTTCCAACATTTTTGGGAATTAGTGGGCCCGGACGTTGTAGATTTTTGCAAATCTGTTTTTGATTCTGGAACGATGTCGGATGGTGTGAATCATACTCATATTGTTCTTATTCCAAAGAAGGATAATGATAGGTAGCGGGAAGAGCATGGGGCGGGACCGGGCTTGGGCCCACTTCCGTGGGCCGGTTACGAGCTGTCTTTATAGTTTATTCTTTATAGTTTATTTATTATTATTAAGTTAATGTTATACTTTGGTTTGGGTCTTTTATTAGTCGAGTACTTAGTAGAGTTAGTATGGGCCTAATTAGTATTTAATTAATTTGGGCTAGATTAGGGTTTCTTGTAGAAGGCTATTTATACCCCTCGCCAGGGTTCATTCTCATTATCTTGGAATAAAATTGGTTTTAGCCTTTCGGCTCTGGCCAACGGTATTTTTATCGTTGATTATCTGGGCAACGGTTTACCCCGTTGATTTTATTTTTTTCTGTTACACATCAATTGGTCCGACCTGCCGGATCTCGTCCCGCCGAAATGACGAGATCTCAGAATGATCGTTTGACAGAGCTGGAGGCCGAGCAAGCCCTAATCAATCAGAAACTCGATGCGCAAGGGAAGAAATTGGAGGAGCAAGGGCATAAATTGGAGGAGCATGGCGCCCAACTCGCAGAGATCGCGGCTTCTCTCGGTGCGATCGCGAAGGTCATAATACCGCCGGAGAAGATGCCGACATCGGCCAGCAACAGCGGCTCTTCCGCGCACGTCGCATCTGCGCATTCAGTCGGCAGAGAGTTGCGCAGCACCACTACAGCCAGAGATCCCATCGGATGGGTGGCCAGAGCTGAGCAACAGTTTGAAATTCATCAAACCTTACCTAGAAGCAAAGTGGCAGCAGCTACGGTAGCCATGGAAGGGGCTGGCCTGTAATGGTTGACCTGGTTGAAGGCACGGAAACCAGGCCTGACTTGGGAGGAATTCACAGATGCACTGGTGGCCCGTTTTGATTCACGGTTCAAGGGCAACCGATTTGAACGGCTGTCCGGGGCCAAACAGTTGGGAACCATAGAAGAATACAATAACCTTTTTGTGTAGTTGGCCAGTCAGGTGGGCTGTCTGATGATCATTATTTGGGGTATTTCATGAACGGGCTAAAGGGACCGATTCAGGGATCCTTACAATTGCAGCGGCCAGAGATATTGCAATGAATTTGGCCAGAGATATTGAGGACAACTTGTCCTTTCAAGATGGAGACTGGGAAAGTCAGCCCTACAACACGGACTTGCGTTCAGGCAGTTTTTCGCGCCCAAGTGGTAGTAACAGCACAACCATAAGTGGTGGCAGCTTAAGAGGATCAAATGGCAGCTTTCCTAAAGACATGGGGCAACCTCCGGGGACGAAGTTAGGGCTGTCCGGGCAGCCTACGACACGCTCTCAGTTCACTCGGCTTCCGCCAAAGGAGTTCACAGAATTGAGGGCGAAAGGATTATGTTTTAGGTGTAAGAAACCATTCACACCGGGGCATGACTGTCCCTTTAACCAGTTGTGGGTAATGATAGTTGAGGAGGATGAACAGTTGGACCTCCAACAACATGAGTACTGTGAAATAACAGGCCAAGAAAGAATTCAGGAAAGAGATGAAGGATATTTTCCGGTCTATTCTATGGTTGGAAATTTCAGTCCCCAATCCGCGAGATTTCAACCTTGATGACAAGGTTAATTTGAAGGAGGATGAATTGATACATAGCGGGAAGAGCATGGGGCGAGACCGGGCTTGGGCCCACTTCCGTGGGCTGGTTACGGGCTGTCTTTATAGTTTATTTATTATTATTAAGTTAAAGTTATGTTTTGCTTTGGGCCTTTTATTAGTAGAGTACTTAGTAGAGTTAGTATGGTCCTAATTAGTATTTAATTAATTTGAGCTTGATTAGGGTTCATGTAGAAGGCTATTTATACCCGCTATTTATACCCTTTGCCAGAGTTCATTCTCATTATCTTGGAATAAAATTGGTTTTAGCCTTTTGGCTCTGGGCAACGGTATTTTTATCGTTGATTATCTGGGCAACGGTTTACCCCGTTGATTTTATTTATTTATTCTGTTACACATCAAATAATCTGGAGGTAATGGGTGACTGGCGACCTATAGCACTCTGTAATGTTGTCTATAAATTTTTTGCTAAAGTTTTGGCTAACAGAATAAAGCATCTTTTGAATGAGTGTGTGTCCGAACATCAGAGTGCTTTTATCCCTGGTAAGTCGATTGTTGATAATGTGATGATAGCTTTTGAGTCGCAGCATTATTTGAAGCGAAAGAGACAAGGGAAGATGGGCTTTGCTGCTCTTAAACTGGATATGAGTAAAGCTTATGACAGAGTGGAATGCCCTCCTTGGAAGGAATGATGTGCCACCTCGGGTTTGCAGATAGGTGGGTTAGATTGATAATGATGTGTGTGCGGTCAGTGTTCTAATCCATTCCATTCGATGATTTGGAACTGGGTCCGATTATTCCTACACGGGGGCTTCGTGAAGGTGATCCTTTATCCCCATATTTATTTATCCTTGTAGCGGAAGGGTTGAGTGTACTTCTCCGTCGACAGGAGGCTATGGGGCGTAGTCATGGGGTTTCAGTGGCTAGGGGTGCACCGAGAATCTCACATCTTTTATTTGCAGATGATTGCCTGTTGTTTTTTAAGGCGTGCCATGGTGAAGCCGAAGCTATCTTGGAAGTTCTCCACGATTACGAGACGGCGTCTGGCCAGGTGATTAATCTAACCAAGTCCAAATTATTTTTTAGCTCAAATGTTATTGAGGAAGTCAGGACCAGTTTGATTTCAATGTTGGGAGTGTTTGGCGGGGGGAGAGGAGCGCTACTTGGGGCTACCGGCACTAATAGGTAAGGGAAGAAAGCAGATTTTAGATTATCTAAGGCAGAGAATTGTTAAAAAATCCAGAATGGGAATAATCGCTTTCTGTCTAAGGCTGGCCAGGAAATTTTGCTAAAAACCGTGGCTCAAGCTATGCCTAATTACGCCATGAATGTCTTTCTGTTGCCTACTGATTTGTGTCGTGAAATTGAAATTCTTATTAATGGTTTTCGGTGGAACGGAAATGCCGGTAAAGGCATTCGGTGGTCAAGCTGGGAGGCACTTTGTAAACCAAAAAAATTTGGCGGGTTGGGGTTCAGAAGAATCAGGGAGTTTAATTTATCGATGCTAGCTAAACAGGGTTGGCGTCTTTTTACAAATCCTGATACTCTAGTTGGCAGAGTCTTCAAAGCCCGTTACTTTCCAAATGGTAGCTTTCTCACTGCCAAACTTGGGGGGTGTCCCTCCTTTGTTTGGAGAAGTGTTTTTCAGACCCAAGAGATAATCAAGTCTGGCTATAAATGGAGAGTTGGAGATGGGAAGACGATTAATATATGGGAAGAACCATGGCTTCCAGATGACGTAAATCCCAGGATTTCTTCATCCAAGTATCCGGGGCTGGAGAATGCAAAAGTTGACGGCCTAATTGATGAAACGGGTAAGGATTGGGATTGTGATATTATTTATGATATTTTCAATTGCAGGGACACACAACTTATCCAAAGTATTAACCTAAGCATCCGACAAATACCAGATAGAATTATTTGGAAAGGGGAATTGAATGGCCAATTCTCGGTCAGGAGCTGTTATCGTAAACTTGTTGGTGAGTCGGTGGCCGAAGGTTGGACAGGGTGGGTGCGAATTTGGAATTGGAAATTACCTCCAAAAATAAAGTCTTTCTTCTGGCAGGTGTGGTGTGTTCAGGCTTTCTTCCCACTCGTTGTGCTCTTCGGCAGAGGCGGGTTGACTGCCCGACAGAATGTGGCCTTTGTAAGACAGCTGAGGAGACGACTTTGCACTTATTCGTTAGGTGCCCAGTAGCTCTTGAGGTCGGCCGCCTTTTGGGGTGGAAGAATTTGGGGCAGAATTTTGGCTCCTTCCTTGAATGGCTCGAAGCTACCTTTCAGACTCATAAGGTGGAGGATCTGCAATTCATTGTTTTAGGGTGCTGGGGAATTTGGTGTGAGCGTAATTTGCGGGTTTGGCAGGGCACTGAATCATCTGCAAATCAGATTGTTGTCCGGGTCAAGGCATTTCTTGAGGGCTGGTCTATGGCACAAAAGGGAGGAGACCCGGTGGCTCCTATAGTGCAGGTGGGGAAAGCTCACTGGAACCGTCCTTCAAGTGGGAAGGTGAAACTCAATGTGGATGCTTCCCTTTTGGAATCACGATGTGGGTTGGGATGGGTGTTGCGGGATGGAGATGGGGAGTTTCTGGCAGGAGGAGTTTGTCAAAGGCCAGGTGAATGTCTCTCGGTTGAGGCTGAGTTATTGGGTATTCGGGAGGCTTTAAGTTGGTTAAAAGAACAACAATGGAATTTTATTGAAGTTGAATCGGATTCTTCACAGGCTATTGCCGAGATAAACAACAGGTCTAGTTGCTTGTTCAGGGGGCTTCTAGCCGAGGGTATCATTTTTTTGAGTAGGCATTTTAATAGCATTACTTTTTCTCATGTTCGGCGTTCTGTGAACACTGTTGCTCACTCTCTAGCTAGGGCGGCATGTTCTATGCCTGATCGTCATATTAGGCGTTTTGTTCCGCCTGATTTTATTGTTCATGTACTTCATCATGATCTGATTAATGATAATTAAATTTCCTTTGTTCAAAAAAAAAGATAAGACAAAAAGATAAAGAAGATGAGAAAGATGAGATATATAAAAAGGATAAAAAAGATAAAATGAGATCAATCCCCCACGCGTAAATTCTCCGTCCACTTTGCTCTCTCCAAAGTCATACTATCATCCAACCCAAGGAGTACCATGCCATTCTTGACCCCTCTAATCTACGTATGTTTGAGTCTTCCTCTCCCTCCCCACCCCGCCTCTTCTCACCACCTCTCAACTCGTCTAAAGGCGTATCACTCATTCACTCTGTCTTCTACACACATTGCAAACCATCACAATCGAGACTCTGCCATCTTATCTTCAATAAGTGGCACTCTCACTGATTGTCTCATTCCTCAAACGGTCTTTTCTAGTACGTCCACACATCCACCGCAACATGTGCATCTCAGCCACACTCATCCAAGTATTTTGATGTTTTTATTGAAATAAAAATAATAGTGTGAAATTAAAAACCATCAATATATAACTGTAGTGCTTATTTTGCTAAAAGTGCTTTTAACTACACTCTGGCCATTTTATCCAACCCCTTAAACTGCTACACAATAAGCTAGTATGCCACTCTCTTCATTATTTCCTTTGTGCTATTTCTTAACATGTTGGTTCCAATGGAAACAATCAATGAATCAATGCATAAAGAAGCTATCAAAGTAAAACAAATGCACAAACCTTTGAGTTCTTACATCTATTTCTCCTTGCAGTGCATCATTCGAATTGTACTCGAGTTTAATCTGCAGTTTTTCTGTGCAACGAGGAGACTCAACAAACAGTACACCCAGCTCGAGATCAATGGATGTTTTGATAAGACACATTTCTGGAATCTAGTATCTCATTAGAATTATGAAATAAAAAAACAATAGAGAAGACAGTATAAGCTCCCCAGTAGGAGAACCATTGAATTGATTGGAGCTTAGGTTTTTAGATAAATCATCAAAAAGAATATTTATTAGGATTTATATGGTTAATTCAATTTTTTCATGGACGCAGATGGCATTTGTCCCCCCCCCCCCTGCGCAAAAAAAGAAGAGAAGCGAGAGAGAAGAGATTATCTACCTTCTTTTGTGTGAGGACTTCACCACTGGCACTCCTTAGAAGCCATTCTCGGTCATGCAGTAGCCCTAAACCACAAAAAACAAGATAAACTAGTTTTTTGAAAGTGTTGCACGATAAGAAGACTTTAGGAGTCAAGACAACCCCTGCTTGTAAATATAAGGTCTCAAAGAACACAGAAAATTATCCTAACAAATGGCTATGACTGCAGGGCTGCACGTAAATAGAAGTAGATAATTACAGGGGAGGGAGGGAAATGCGCCAAACCTTTACATAATCAATCTTACAGTAATACCTGTGTTTGTCAGAGGCCAGTCATCACGACTAAAACCTGAACATGCCTTTATTGGATAGACCATAATAGATCTGAGGAAGTACAGAGTGATGATCTTTTCAGTTCCTGCACTTAGCAGTGGAGCAGACCAAATAAAGATAATGTTGAAGTTAAGTCCCGAATGACCCGAAGGCCCAACACCAACCTTGGATCTAGGGTTTAAGTGCTAGAGTAAAGTGTATAAGAGAAATATAAAAACTAATTGATGAACTCAAATAGCTTCGCTTGTATTAATACAATAATAACAATTACAACAGAAAGGCCGAACGGCAGTTCCCGTCCAAAGCTAATACAAAAGCTAGAATGACTAGAGAGCTAATGAGTCAACAAAATCCAACCCCTAACACAGGGGTAACGCTGGTATTTATACTGGATGAGGTTCGGTGGGAGCATGAGGTGGCAAGCTCTGAATGGCTGCTTCCCTGTCATTGCTACCTCCATCCCTCTACTTGCTTTGCCCATGTCTCCACTTGAGGTGCCCATATCCCAGCATTAAATGCGCTTCCCGCCAGGATCTTGGTTTCCCACCAAGTGGTGGGGACAAGCGTCCCCATGATCTTATCTCATGTGTCCTGCGTGCTCCCAAGGCCAAGGTTCCGTACGTACGTCTCTCAATTGGGCCTTGCTGGCCTGTTGGGGACGTACGTCCCCAACAGGCCAGCAAGGTCCAATTGAGAGACGAACGTCTCCAAGGACTTTTGGGCAGCTGGAGATGCCTTCCCCTTACTTCAGGGGACGTACGTCCCCAACAAGCCCAACAAGGCCCAATTGCAAGACGAACGTCTCCAAGGACTTGGGCAGCTGGAGACGCCTTCCCTCTACTTCAGGAGACGTACGTCTCCTGAAGTAGGGAAAGGCGTCTCCAGCTGCCCAAGTCCTTGGAGACGTTCGTCTCGCAATTGGACCTTGTTGGCCTGTTGGGGAAGCATCTTCAGTTGCCCCGTCCTTCGTGACGTTCGTACTGCCCTTAGCCGACGCACCTGACGTGACGGTTGCTTATTTGGCATGGTTTCCCGTCAATGGGTGGCGACGGTCGTCCTCAGGCCAGGTGTGGCGTGGTGCTTTCCAAGTTGTTGAGCGTGTCTCCTGATGCTCTGTTTGTCTGCTTAGATACCCCATGAGAATAGGCCGTACGTCGTCACCGCTTACTGCCATTTTGGTGCAAGAGCTGGATCTCGTCTCTCTGAGAGTATCTGTCCCCAGATTGTTGGGCTTTGGGGACGGTTGTCTGGTGGGCCTTAGGGGTTAATGGGCCGGTCCTATTTGGGCCATTTACCCAACAGATAACAATGACAGACTAAAAGGCATCGATGGAGAAAAGCTAAGTAGCCCGGAAACGCAAAAAGGGAAACGTGTAAATATTAAAAAATATAAATCTATTATAAATAGTTTTTTATATATACACACAGGTATTTCATTTATGCATATGCACTTTTTTCATATAATTTGTTTAGTAAGCCAACAATAAATACATTCTACATATTCAAATTTAGAAATCATTACACATTAGTACATAAACATAAAATGGGTTACATTTCTAGCAATGTATTGCGTTATGAAATGTCAAAATATTACCAAGAAGAAATACCATAAAAATTCACTAAATATTTTTTAAAAGACGTTATTTTCCATCACAAAATCCCATAAAAAAGAAAAATCGGATACCAAAGGTTTCTGAAACGCTAAATATTTAGGGAAACTAGTTTCCCAAATCTTCTTAATTACGGAAACGGACTCGAAATGGAAATTTGAAGTTTCCAAGTTTGTGACACGCTTCCAAGTTTCCAAAACAGGAAAACGTGATCCGCGGAAGGTTTCTGTGCTTAATGGTAGAAAAACATTTGAATTGCGGAAGCTCTAATTAAATTGCATAGCCTATAACATCCAATGAACTTACAACCCAAAATACAAGTCATTCTGAAAAGAGATGTTGGAGATCAAAATATAACCTTTGATTAAAGGGAATAAAGATCTTGCGCTCATAACACCTCCACTGCAATGAATTGACACGAAGGACCTTTCAATAAATTCCATAAGTTTCTGAAGACCGATGTATGAAATGAAGAAAATAGTACATCAGTGTGACATTATATTATTAAGTGAAAGAACAAATGATGGCAAAAAAAACAATCAAGCAACTGAAGCAAGTTTTCCACTCATCATGAATTGAGGTAGTCACATAAACCCAACATACTTTTAAAGCACTGTCCAGAGGAATTGAAAAGAGATGGGCAGATCACAATGTTCAAAATGTGTATTGCGCAGTTGAGGCCATTTTTAGGGATTGTATATCGCATAAGCCTCATTGCACAATGAGGCGTAAGCTAAGTAGCACGGCAACACGAAATGGGTTTCTAATATTAATATAGGATACAAAACATGAGGGAAATACGTAAATATTTTTTAAAAATATAGATATATTTATAGATAATTTTCATACATGTACATTTTTTCATTTGTTCCATCATTTCCAATGGAGCCAAAGACTCGATATTTTTTGGGAATATGATGGTTTAAACGAAAATGGCTCACTAAATTGTCTGCGTTTCTTTGTTATGAAGAGGCAATCTCTGTATTAAATATTATAGCTTTGTGCTTTACTACAAAGGTCATCCGGAAACAATCTCTGTACTTTACTACAGAGGTCCGGTTGCGTACATCCGAACCCCCTTACTCTACCGTACGTGGGACCCTTTGTGGCACTGGGGTAATGTTGTTGTTTGTTGTTGTTGTTGACTGTTGTACAATTTTTCATTTATATATATATGTGTTTGTGTGTGGACATATTTTTCATAAGATATAGCTTTGTTTGATAACCAATAATAAATACAGTCTACATGTTCAAAAAACTTAGAAACTACTCCGTATTAAATATTACTATATTAGTACTAAATTAAACATAAAATTCATTACATTTTTTAGCAATTCATTTTGTTAACATCAACATGTTGCCAGGAAGAAATCCTATAAACAATTTACTAAAAAGTTTTAAACAGATACTACTTTCAATCATACAATTCCATGGGGCAGTCTGGTGCACGAAGGCATCCTTGCAAGACAGTGGTCCGGGGAAGGGTCCCGCCACAAGGGTATATAAGAAGCAAGGCTTCCCCTGTCAAAATTTGACAAGAGACCACTCCCAAGACTTGAACCCGTGACTTCTCGGTCACACAACAACACCTTAACCGGTGCGCCAAGGCTCCTTTTAATCATAGAATTCCGTCAAAAGGAAAGAATAAATGGAAACTTGGAGTCTCCAACACGCAAATAATTTAGGGAAATGGGTTTCCCAATTCTTCTTAACTACGGAAACAACCTCGAAATGGGAATTTGAATTTTCCGAGTTTCCAACACGCTTCCGTGAAATGGGGACACATAAGCTGTGGAAAGTTTCCATGCTTCATAGGGCGTAAGACTCCGTTCTTAATACCAACTTAACTCAACAAAACAGTCATTAAAAGTTAACAAATTTTTAGTTACAACGAATCCCATAAAGTTCATTAGCTTGAGGAATGAAAGATAGGTTCATCAACATATTTTGGCTCGAAGAGGGATTATCAAAGCCCAAAAAACAGAAAAAAAAGCAGTTTGAGATGAAAGGCAGGTTATAAAAGCAAAAAGGGTTATAATTTTAAGAGCACAACTTATTTCTTTAAATCCTGCAAATGCAATTGCGTATGCCTCAATTCTGCCTCATTGCATACGCGTAAGTACAAAAGGCCCAGGCCTCAATGCTGTTGTTGCTCTGTAATTCAAGAGTTGGCTTAGCGCGTATTAGGCCCAAAATCACTTAGGAGGTCCTTTAGGCATAAAGCATTGCACAATAGTGAACACTGGAGGTGATATGGACTGATGAGTACATGTAACTCTTGTGCTTGTGTGAAACCATGCTATAAATATTGTTCAAAATATCTGCTATAACTTTGATAGCAATAAATATTAAAATTTAGTGCTGTATAAGAAGGTATGCTTATAAACTTGCATACCAGATATATCCGAGTCCTATTTGATATATCAGAGTCCTATGTGATACATAATATGACAAACAATGAATAAGTAAGAATATCATTTGATACCTTGGCATCTTCAAATGTTGACATGTAACCAAAAGATACTCTGACAGCACCAGTTGGTTTTCCATTTAAAACATCTTGGTCATCCCAGCAAGCATGCCCAGCCTTTGAGAAGAGAAAATAAATCATAGAGTGCACCGGCTTTAGTAAGCATCTGTTCCTCCATCTATGAAACAAAGAATATGATGTACCTCAATATTTGACAGAAGATCCAAATGTGATAAGCCAAGGTACTTTGCACAGGCACCTGGATTGCAAAAGCATCCTGTCTACAAAACAAGAAAAGAAGAAGAATAAATTTAAAGCAAAGCTGCAAGTCGTATAAGAGCATTAATGCAATTCAGCACATGCGTGTGGAGCGGTAAAAATGGTTTTAAATGCCAAAGATCTTTCAAAAAGATCCCCTCACAGTAATTAAACCTATATGCACACATTCACAACCCTAAAAAACTATTCGTGAATACCATTTTTTAAAATTAGAAGCTATGGTCTTAAAACAGTTACCCGTAGCTGAATTCCGGCCAAGGATGCCAGATTTTCCACTTCACGGTAGCCATACCATGTCCCATCTGGTCTCTTTAGATTGAAGGAAACTATCGGGCCCACATTACTAGGTAACATCTGAAAGTGTTTATATGATTACTACTATACTCCATGCACATACCGATCCAGGAATATATAACCTGAAGACTTCATATATAAGGCTGACCTGTGGAGTTTTCACTCCATAAATTGTGCAAGCATAATGTCCATTTTCATGCCTCAAAGCTAATAGTTCTCTCCTCACATAGGTTGCCAGTGATGTTGTATGCCTAGCATGGCAAAGAAAAGCGTGTTTCATAACATCTTCGTCTCATTAGACTCTCATAAAAAAATCTCTCGCGCACCGAGATATGGAAGATACAGTCAAAGCACTGAGTGCTCTGAATCCATGCAGAATTGAAGATATGTTTAAAAACGATAATGTTCCGTCCTCAAAGAACTCCTCCACGCCTGCTCTTCTTTTGAAGAAGTCAGTGTCAGCGATAGCAGCAGCAACTGTGCCTAGTAAATGATATAAAAAATAAGAATAGTACTTGGGATTTGACGTGTCAATCCCACCTAAGATATACAAATTATGCGCATTAGCCCTTGTGATTCAAAAAATGTATCAAAGCCTCTTGTGTTATGATTAATCATGCAAGTAAGATATCAAAACAAAAATGTAACTATCTAGTAAAAATGCACATTTGGCATTATAATTATTATAATTACTACCTCCGTCCCAGGTAAAGGTTCCCGTCCACTATACTCCGATCAACATAAATTGTTATTAATCTTTTACTTTATATATCTAACTTTTATCAAATTTGAGTTTTTTTGCAACTTCATAAAACTTTTAATGTAGTTTCTGAATATGTAATTTTATTTACTAAAAATAATATCATTATTGACATGGATCATTTAACTTTATGACCAGTCAATAACACCCGCGATGGAGGGAGTATAATATTAGATATCTGCACACATTTGAGTTCTAGAGACAGTGGGGAATGCCGGAAAGGCGAAGGCCAGATCTCTGTAAACACCCACAGCACCGGCACTGTGATCTTCTCTTTTCTTTCATTTTGTTCAGCTATCTAGTGTCCACCATCTCTGGCAGTGAGTGTGATGGAAGAGCACCGGTGATGGCCATGAACGATGTACAAAGTTCAGATCTGGATGACACTAGGGGTGGACTCGGGCCGGGCCGACCGGCCCGCTACTGTGCGGGCCCGGACCGGCCTGGTGAACCGGTTGGTTGGCCGGTTCAGGCCACCCGGCCCGGTGGGATCTCGGTTCGGGCTCGGGCCCTTCAAAAGGTGAACCGGCTCGGCCGGTTCGGGCCCGGGCCGGGCCAATTCTTTTTTTTTTTTTGAATTTTTTTTAAGTTTTTGGGTTGGGCTGGGTATTTTGGGCCATTTGAGGTGGTTAGGGTTGGTTTGGGGGTGAGGGGGAGGGTTGGGGGTTAACTAGGAAAAGCCCAAAAAATATATATATATATATATAACCGAGGCCCGGCCCGGCCCGGCCCGGACCCGGGGGTTACCCGGCCCGGCCCGGACCCGGGGGTTACCCGGCCTGGCCCGGACCCGGGGGTTACCCGGGCCGGTTCCGGGCCTCCCATACCTTGAACCGAGGCCCGGCCGGTTCAAGGCCTGAACCGGGCCCGGCCCGAACCGAGTCCATCCTTAGATGACACCATCAAGGCCCAGTTTGGATATTTCTTGTCTGTGTAATCTGAAATTCAATTATGTCAGACCTTCATTGGATTCGAGCCCTCCATGATGAAAATCAGGCCTCAGTTTCTTTGTCTGAGTTTAAATGCGTGGAATTCTTGTTTAGCCCAGACGTCATTGGGTTGTCCATTGTGGATCAGGCCCAGGTCCAGTTTGAGTTGGCTGAGGGCTATGTTAGGATTGATCAAAATTAGTGAGGATTGGGTCTTAATGTGGTCAAATCACTTTCTGTTTACAGATTTTCCTCTTGGCCCAATTTCTCTTAATTGCCTTGTTTGTTTGTTGCACCAGATCTGCTTCCGGATTTTCTCTTTTTTTGTATCCCCCTCTTTTTTCGTATCACTCTTCATATATACGGAGTATATAAAAGTGTTTTTTTAAAACAATTAAAAAAATCATGGTTAACCATAACAACAAAGGGGCGTGTTTTCCTGGGAGTTAAATTTGGAAGTAATTTAACACGAGGATTTGAATCACGAAGGGCTAATGCCTGAATTTGTATATAAGAGGGAGGATTCGGCACATTAACCCCATAGTATTTGCGACCATTGAGTTACACAACAATGAACAATGAATTTGAGAAAAACCTCCACTGAAGTAGGTCTTTCTTAGTAGCTTTGCAACCTCTGCAAGTGAGGAGGATGTATTTGTTAGTTTTTTTTTTTCAAAATAAAATAAAAATTGACTTATAGAGGATACATTACACAAAACAGGAAATGGAAAGAGTAAAAGAAAGTAAGTATGGTAATTACTAAATTGATGAACATGAAAGAAAAAGGATAACAACACACATCCACCACTTATTACCATTTCTAACAATTAGCGCACCAAGGCCAGTCGGGTATCCAAACATCTTATAGAACAAAAGAAGAAGAAGAAGAAGAAGAAGAAGAAACACATCAGCACAAGTAGACTAGTATTTTATATTTAAATATAGGAAGTGTTTGGATGTACCTTGTAAAATGACATGACAACAAAGTCTGCCCTGTGTTTGTTTAAATCTGGTGGGTCTGTCGCGCATCCTTTGGCAGCATCAATCAGAACAAGCCACTTGCCTCTGTTAAGAAACTTTTTAGATGAATGTATTATAAAACCAATTTCGCTAGCAATTAAGCAATAAAAGACAAGAAGTCAGGAACCAATGCAAAGACAATGTGGAATTTTGGTGGGTGAATCATGAATGAATAAACCTCTGGCTACTTCAGCCAAAATATAGTGCTATTAAGGCAGTGTTTGTTCTTGCTTCTACTTTGAAAAAGTGATTTCTCAGTGAATGATGAGAAAGTGCTTATTAGTAAAAGTTGACAGTGTTAAAATAAAAGTGATTTAAGTGTAAAAGTTAAAGCTAATGTTTGGTAAAAAAAATTGTTGGCATAATATTTTGTTAAATTGCATAAATGCCCCTACTTATATTGAATACATAAATACTAAAAATAACCTAGCATGATTGCATCAGTCGGAGGAAATCGCGAGTCTGAGGAGATCGTGAGCTAGGGCTTGACAAGCAAGGTAAGATTGGAACAAGCACACAGTTATTAGCACTCTTGTACTTGGGTTTTTCAATTATTAGCTATTTGATATGTTTCAGGTTGTCTTCTTTCACTCTCTCATATTTCTGTTTGTAAGGTTTGTCTTCTTTGGTTGGAGACTTAGTTTGTTTTCTTTCAGTTGGAGGCATACAGTTTTGTGAGGTCTGGGTTCTTCAGTTGAAGACTCACATATCGACGGAGAAGGGAAGCTTTAGGGATCAGTGGATCGAACACCATTTTTGATGACTTGGTTAAAGAGAAGGGTATGTATGTTTGCATATGCACAGAAAAGTTAGAAACAAAATTATCCCAAAAGTTTCAGTTATTACAAAATAACCCAGAACCAGATTAAAGCATCACTAATGCTGCTTTCAGCTTTTGGCTTAAAGCATGGTTGTCACAGCAACAAGGCTAGGCGACTAGGCGCCCGGCTTGGCGACAATTAGACGACTAGTTGCACCATATGCAATATTTAAATATATAAAATATTATGTTTAAATATATTTGAGCATGTTCTTCCATGAAATGTAAATTATGTCCACAAAATTTCAGCATAAAACTTGATCAGGAAGTCGGTTAAATAAATTATTGAAAAACACTGCGCCCAGACGCCCACCCCAAACGGCGACGGCCGGATGGAGGGTCCTCGGATCATTACTCATTTGTAATGTATTCCATACTACCTCTCTTTTTTAGGTGCAACATTTGGTGAAGTTAGAAAATTCACATTTTGAAATTTTATGATGAGACAAGTGTAACAATATTTCTTAATAACTAATTTATATACATTAAAAAATCAAATGTAGTCAAAGTAGAACTTGTTAATAGGGTAAATTCAACATGTAGCACTTATTTAAGAACAGAGGTAGTATTACATATTGCAAATTAAATTATACATTACCTAAAATTGAAACCAACAACTAATCATTCAAAACAAGGTTTCTTAATTCAAAAAAAGAATAAAAAATTCATCTCAGATAAGAATTTTAATATACTGTACAAAAAATAATTTATGAAAAACAACAAAGAAGAAAAATAATACTACTCCGTCCCAAAATGAAGTTCCCATTAACTATTCACATGGTCGACTTAAATCACTCTTAATCTTTTGCTTTAAATATCAAATTTTTATCAAATTTAAATTTTCTTGATCGGACTTTGTAAAGTTTTTAATGTAGTTTCTGAATATGTAAAGTTGTGTTTACAAAAAATAATCTGAGTGTGAGCAGGAATCACGTTGTTTTATCGTCAATATTGTCTAGCTATTCTAGCTAAGTTTAAATGCACAAACTCAGAATAAAGAATCTATAATCAATTAAGTACAACATAAAAAATTGTAAATGCAATATATGCATGGAACTAGAAGATAACGAAAAGGAAGGGAAAATGTAGAAAGAAAAACGGAAAATGGGTCTGGGGAAGGAAAATTCAGTCCACGATTTGAAATTCTCCTTTGATTGGAGACCTCGAGTTTGATTGTGTTCTAGCCTAAAAAACTCATGCTTATTGGAGACTTCATCTAGAGTTCGACAACTCGGTCTTACAAATCGTCAAATAAGACTTGGACTTTATTTATAATAGTCCTAATAAAATTATTGCCCGTTTGGTAACACTGATACTAGCTGAATCTGCTAAAAATGATGAAGTTCTAGTAGAAGTGACCGAATTGAATGAATGGTGAAAAAAAAATTTAAAATAAATGTATTAATAAATAAAGACAAAGCTATATGGAAAGTGGCTATAATAGTTCTATTCACCAATTTCAGAGGAAAGTAACTTCAACCTTACTTATTTTGATTATTACACAATTCAACCCACAAAATAAAAAAGTACGAGTACATGTTTAGTAAAAAGGTTACCTGAAAATAGAGGTTACCAAACGGAGTTTTAGTTTCCTAAAACTTAGTTTCGAAATCTATTTTTTTGGGCTTAGTTTAGTCGGTATAAGCTTCAAATTTGGCATCACCCTTTCGCCAAACCTACACCTCGTGACGTGGACGACTAGTTTTCTTCCAGCAAGGTGATGGCACATCGTGACCACTCCCCAAGACCCCAACAACATGAGGCCTAGTCACTGAATAGGCAACGACATAACAACCATGCTTAAAATTAAGCAGAAGTTTGTGTTTGAAAACACCAAGTTTTTTAATTAAAAAAGCTGAAAAGTGCTTTTCCGAAGCATTAGACAGCACCGCATACAATTGAATATACCATATGTATTTGTAAAGAAGAGTTCATAAAAAACTTGTCTGTATTTTCAGCACAAGTACGGAGTGATTTACCGAAAATAGTGTACCCCACACAATGAGGCACCATCATCTCTGCTGCCTTGGGGAAGTATGTAAATCGTGGGTTGTTGCTCGTGAAGGTTGTAGATTCATTTTGTACCAAGGGATCGTTCTTGCCCTTGGTAGGAATTCAACTCTTGCATGTCAACTGTCAAGTGAGGCGGAGTTGTAATCCCCTTCCACCATTCACTTGAGCTATGCCCCCCCGTGGGATCAATTTTGAAAAGAATGAAATTTCTTAGAAAGTTAGAAATATATGACACAATTTCTGTTTCCTTTAAATGCAAAAAGTCTCATCGTGAAAAAAGTCAAAAGGCTCTCCACTTGTTATTACAGGCTTTACAGCTGGTAGAAAGAAGGATAAAAGAGAATGAAACTTTTTCTAATGAATTACCTATGAGGCAGAGAGCTGCCAAAGATATCATCTGAATCTTCCTTCATAAAGTTCACCAAGTCAAGGTTGAACCTTCTACCCGAAAAGTTGCACTCTGACGGAAACGCAAATAAGTTGTAAATCTTTTCTGCATAAAGTTTAAAAATAACAAACAATTAGCTGTGTATATGCTGCAGAGAAATGTAATCAAAACAGAAGCAGATACTTTCTCCCTCAAATGAAACATGAGACTTTAAATTAATATTGAACTATCAAAGTCCATGACAATCATTTCCCAACAATGTTGAACTATATTATCAAAAGGATAATATGCCTCGCCAAATATTTGAACTTTCATAGGATAAAACTATAAATCTATAATATTTAACTATGACTAATTCCACTAGACAATAAACCCCCAGTCCCTCAAAGTATCAAATATTATTCCATCTTCTCCATTATTCCCCCTCTTATGGAAGCCTTACACCCTGAGCCCTAAAAGTATTTGTGAGGACTATAAAGGCTATAGAACAGGCTTTATAAAAACTCCTAACAGTAAGCCATTCTAGAGAATCAAAGGCAGATCTATGGCCACATGAGTTTCCATTAATCGCCATATAGAAATAACTACCTGTCGATCCTTCTTTTAGCAGTTCAGCTTCAAGCCTTCTTTGTATCGGGCGGTGTGAAATCTTAAAGGTAGATTGATGGCTTTGTGAATTATCATTATCTCTAGCATCTACAGCAAATACCGTAGCTCCTTTATTAAGTGCATATCTGGATCTTATTAAGGAAAGGCTAACTCACAAAGATCAATACTTAAATGGGTTCTTTCAACAAAGGAATTTTTGTACACATTAAGAATTTTGCATTGGGGTCTATGTAGTTAAATCAGTGCCGGTGGCTACTTTGTCAAGGCCGAGTGGTGAGTAGTTGCACTTGGTTTTGTACTAGTAAATAACTAAATATTTTTTAAAAAAATATGCCACACAATTCTAATAACTTCTTGTATTTAAGGGACAATCACATTTCTAATAATTACAATACATATATAGAAAACTAATAATCCATAACAATTAACAACTATTATAAATCATAAATATGTCAAGACAATCAATCATCTAATCGGTCCTTATTTTTAAGTGGTATCCCAAATTAATCCTTGCAAGACTTCCCAAAGGAATTCAATTTATTACTGCAAATTATCTCTATATATAAGAAGTCGAAGAAGAAGAAGAAGAAGAAGAAGAGGAGGAGGAAGAAGATGAAGAACTCACCTAGACATAAAGGTATCGCTCTCATTGAATAAATACTTTGTAGCTCACCATGTGAATTCTCAATTTTTAATGCTTCCAAAACTTAGATTTTGTGATATTCTTTTTCACTTTACCGAGTAAAGTCCTTTTTTTTCAAATCTCGGTCTTCAGGTTCAATCTTTAAAAAAACAATCACATTTAGTATGGAGGAGTTACTCAGTGTGTCACTAGTCACCCAGCCATGAAAATCGTGAAGTACTGTGTGATTAATTTGGGATTTTTTTGACAGTGAGTACTATGCAATTAGAGAACAAAGATTGGGATTACCAAATATAGCCTTATTTCTAGAAAATGCCATTCTTGGGCAAAGGATTATGAACAATCAAAGTAAACAACTAAGAGCATAAAAAAGAAATCTTGAATTCTTGATCCTGGCTTAAGTAAATATTTTGGCCTTGAAAAAGGAAAAGCACCGCATAAAAGGGTGTATTCATGGCCAGAGATGACTTATAACAGTATTTATATGGCACTGGTAATAGAAGGATACTCTCTAATCCCAAGAACACTATTATGATTTTCCATTGTATACATGAAACTGCTCTCACTGCACCAGGGAAAGGTCTCCCCAACAAGTTTCAAAGCTGCTGTTGCTCCAGAAGTGAATATACAGCTATACTCTAAGGGGGGTGCATTAAAGAATTCAAGTACCTGTACCATTATAATAAGAAATAATTACAAAATTATACTACCTTGGTCCCATTTTATGTGTTTCACTTTGACTTGACACGATTATTAATAAAGTGGTTGAAAACGTAAAAGCTGTGATTGAGGTTTGAGTATAATAAAGTGAAATGGTGAAAGCCACATATTTCTTTCCAAAAAAGGAAAGGAGACACTTATTTTGGGACAACCCAAAAAGGAAAGTAGGACAGGTAAAATGGGACGGAGGGAGTAACTAAAATAAAGCGTGTTAAAATGGGAAGTTAGACTATTGTAGTAACTTAGTCATAGTAACTTATGTTCAATTTTTACAGTTAAGTGACCATGACACTATACTCATAGTAACTTTAGTCATATTTTGAAAACACCTCTTATTATAAACATCCAAAAAGAAGAAAAATAATACACTAGTTTACTTCAGTCTGCTCACTCGATAGATATTGATAGCAAACGGATTTTACCTGCTGACGTGCTTCTTGAACACGGTCATTACTACTCATGCTGCAGCTGCTTTGGCTATCTATTGATTTACAGCTTAAGGAATGTAATTATTTATAATTTGTCACCCATAAAATATATCAAGACAAGAGGACTTCTTGTCAACCAAGAGAAAGAATGAAAACATTCATTTGTATGGTATATGTAATTCAGAATATTACATATATGAAGCAGAAAACTTAATACTCCCTCCGTCCCATAAAATAGTTCCCGCATTGACTTGGATCGGAGTTTAAGAAAGTGGGAACAAAGTGTAAATGTATGGTTGTGGTTGAATAAGAAAAAGGTAAATGAATGTGAACCACACAAAACTTTCCAAAAAGGGAAATGAGAACTATTTTTTGAGACGGCCCAAAAAGAAAACCGGGAACTATTTTGCGGGACGGAGGGAGTAGTTAATATTTCATATGGAATTTGGAAAAGTATATAACAATAGCTAAAGTTCTGATTTTTATCTGTTCGTGTTCATGAACTCCATCATCATTTCATCATCATCATCATTTACCCCAGTGCCACAAAGGCTCCTACCTACGGTGGGGTAGGGGGGTCAGACCCCTGTCCTAAAACAGGGAGAGACTGTTTCCGAATGACCCATAGTGAAAATAACATCCAAAATTGCATGTACTGACTACTGCTTCATAACAAAGAAGCGCAGACAGTTTAGTGAACCATTTTGCTTTATTACATCATATTCTCAAGCCAAAAAATGGTGAATCTTTGGCTCCATTGCAAATGATGGAAAGAGAACACAAATATTACCTCGAGCCTTTTGAAATACAAAAGAAGTGACTATTTTTCCTTTTTTCCCAAAAATATGACTAACTTTTTGTTTAATTAATCCAATTTTCTCTGTAATTTATATCCGATCTCTGCCACAGTCCCCACCCCACACCTGCCCAGATGCAGATGGAAACTGCAGCTGGAAACTGCCGCCAGAAATGTAGTCAGAAAATTTTGATGATTCTTTTTGGTTTAACAGTTTTTTTAATTTAGCCGAAAACAGTAGTAGGGAAAATTTATTGTGGTCACTTTGTCCCAACTAGCTGAAAAAATACTTTTATTAGCCTTTTAGTAACGGTTAGCTTTTAATGACTGAAAAGATCTTAGAAGGAAAAGGTAGTAGTTGATTAATAAAAAGTTGACCGTTTGATTTAGTTCAGTTTGGTATACAAGTTGTTAGAACTAATTAATGCTAAAAGCTATCGATTTTTTTCAGATGCTACTCACGGTAGGATCTCAAAAAAGATCTTTTATTTTTTAAAAAAGCTTTTAAAACTTGGCATGGCTAACATACAACTAAAAGCTTTTAAAGACTTTTTAAATAGTACAAAAGTTAGAAGGCGGTAACTTATGCCTAACAAACATGCTCCAAATCTGGCAGTGACATAAAATTCAGCAATAATGACATCGTGGCTTTCCAAATTTATTACCTACCGAGTACATTTTTATCCATATGCAAAAGTAGTCACTTTCTTTGAACACTTTCTTCGATATGAGTTTTAATTTAGCCATATTTAAGCAAAACCCCAAAAAAGAAAGATACAGGATACGAGGATTTCCATAAACAGTAGAATTCAGCTCTTTGAAAACTTCTTCCATTTGAGATTCCGAATGGAGAGTGGCTCCCGCATGATCCAAGTACACAGTACCTACAAATTTTTAAATTTCATCACTGTTCCATGCATAAGTTACTACACAGTCTAGTAAACCTACACTTGAGAGTTGTTACAAATTTTTGTTCTTCTTCATCATGTGTTTGTTTTTTATTTGAAATTTCCAGAATGAAGAAAGAAAAAACGAACAGCGAAATCACTGACCTTTCAAACGCTTGAACTCGGTAGCTCTAATCTGCTCTATATTTTTAGGGGCATTAGGATAACCGTAATCCTCGCAGAACTCCCTCAAAAATATTTCTTTCTCAGAGCTCATCGCCATAGCACGTAGCCACGTAAGTCAGAGGTAGAGCAATGATGACGAAGCCGGTTTAGTATCGAAATGGAATCATCCAGTCCATACTCCATACATAATGCTAATTCGAATGGGCCATTTCAAGCCCATATCATTTGACTTTGGGTTGGGGTTCGATTTGACCCTATACTGTTGGTCATGTTATGCTAATGATTTGGGCCGAGCCAAAAAAAGATGGGAAAATATCACAAATAGATTTAAAAGAGAAAGTGATATCACTTTTGTCACTTTATAAATTCTTTTTAAAAAATAGACTAGTTGAACCTTTTCTTTTCACAAATAGATCATGTGTCCATGTACACATCCATCCGCAGGAATCTATATTCACAAGAAGCACATGTAAAGATCCAACTTCATTGATCTGCACCTTCTTTGATAAAATAATACTCCCTCCGTCCCACAAAATTCTTCTCACTTTCCTTTTTGGGTTGTCCCAAAAAATTCTTCCCACTTACTAAAAATGGAAAGTTTTCCCACCTAAAATACCCCTGATGGATTATCTGACCAGGGGTGGCCGAAATCCAGCTAGAACGAGAGTAAAAGGGAGAGTGAACTGATCGGAAAATGCAGGTACTTCGTCCGGCCGAATAGCAGTATATGAGTCTTAAGAGTGCGATAGATTAAACATCCCTTTCCACAAGTTGGAAAGTGATATTTATACTAAGAGATAAAAGGCAATACTTGATGCCCAAGCAAAAAGATGCTAGACTAATAGGAGAGGGACACGTGTAAAGCTACTCTAACAAACTAACAGCCTAATTCGATGGGGAGCAGCCACGTGTAAAGCTGATTGGAGAGAGAATCTTTAATAGCTAGCTGATTGGAGGTTGCTTCTAACAGAATTGCTGCCAGAGATCCTGTGTGGCTACGCGTGGGTAACCGGGAATATTACCTGGTGTTGATGGTGACGTGGCGACATCTCCTTGTGAGGCAAGTCCTTGCGGATTTTGTCTAAGTCCATGATGTTTTACTCAGACCTTGGGGATTACTGAGGTCGATATCTGGGAGCTCGGGCTCGTGATGAGAGCACTCGTCCCTTTGTCCTCTGCTCCCGCCTTCGGGGTAGTGGTCTGCCTGGCACTTGCTGACCATGTGTTTGACTCCCGGGGTCAGACATGGTGCCGAGCTCGGGTGTCTCGAGGTCGGGCTCATAACCAGTCGAGTCTGATCGATTCCTAAGCCTGGTATTTTCCCAACCTCGGTGGTCAAGGTCGGGGTCGGGCAACTTCTCGGTCCTTAGCTTGTTCTGTTGACTGGCGCTTGCTCCCGACCCTGGCTGGTCGGGGTCGGGGTCAGTATAGCTGTGAACTTAGTCTTTTTGTGCACTCCGGAATGGGTCCGTGATGCTTTATACCGGCGATTATGATACCCCTGGGGTATACGGGAATATACTCCATCATGAGTCCCCCACTCTCCGAGGCGAAAGTGAAACTTGAGGTGAGAGAGAGTAAATCTTCAATTTCCTGGGCCCGTTCGCCCGGCAGGGGTGCTGCTCTTCCATGGTCATGACAATGGGGTACCTCATTAAAAACTCCGCTGAGGAAAAACCCTGTGGGAAAAAATCCTAACGGAGGAAAAAGAGTATACTCCGCTTTGCCATGAAGTCCGGAGAGGAAAGCGACGCCCCACTGCAGAGAGGTTCGAGCTTGAGCTCCGTGTATTCCAAACCTGCTTCATGGGTTAGTTACTACATCCGCAGCCCCGGCCGTCTGTGAGCTTCTTTTTTAAGCCCTTCAGGATGGTGCGGTTGGCGTTTTCGACCTGTCTGTTGCACTGTGGGTAGGCGACGGAGGCTGCGGTGTGTTTGATTCCCCAACTAGCCAGCATGTCCTAGAAGCTTTTGGCCTCGAATTGAGTGCCATTGTCCGTGATGAGCTGCTGTGGCACGCCGAAGCGAGTGAGGATATTCTTGTGGACGAATCTCCTACACTGCGCTTCAGTTATGCTGGCCAGTGGTTCCGCTTCTATCCATTTGGTGAAATAGTCAATGGCGACTATGATCCATCTGCAATTACCAGTACCTCGAGGAAGCTGTCCCACGAGGTCTGCGCCCCATCTGGAAAATGGGATTGTTGTGCTAATGGGGGCGTAGTTTATTGTTGGGCGTCCCAGGATATTCTAGAATTGTTGGCATGCGTTACAATTGCGGGTCATCCGAGCGCAGTCTTTTGCCATGGTGGGCCAGAAATATCCTTGTAAGAGGAGCTTTCAGGACATAGTGTGGGGCTCTGGTGTGCAGAGCAGACCCCACCATGCACCTCTTCCATGGTTAGCTTGGCCTCGCTGTCGTTGAGGCAGCGTAGAAGCGTACCATTGTAAGATCTTTTATATAACATGCCATCAAGGAGGTTGTAGGTCGAACCTCGGAGCTTGACAAGTCTGGCCTCGGCCTCACCCTGGGGCAGTTGCCCGTTGCCAATGTATTCTTTGAGGTCATTTGTCCAGTCCCTTGGGATGGTCTGTACCTGGTGTATGAGGGTCTGATGTATGCTTGGTGTCGATAGCTCCTCCACCTGAGCTATCTTGGAGATATATTCAGGCGCGGCCAAGCTCAGCTTGGATAGAATATCAGCTTCCTGATTCTGAGCCCGTGGTATTTGCAGGATTTCATACAGCTGGAAGGTTTCGAGGAGTTCCAGTGCAGCAACTTTGTATTCCTTCATCTGAGCCTCCTTTGCTTCACAGGAGCCATTAATTTGCCCGACCACGAGCCTCGAATCGCACTTGATCCTCAGCTTTCCCGCCTGCATATTAGCTGCAAGGCGTAGGTCAGATAATAAGGCTTCATATTCTGCCTCATTGTTGGAGACTTTGAACGCAAAGCGTATAGCATAATAAGCCCGGAAGCCCTCGAGGGTGATGAGTACGATCCCCCCCCCCACAGGATTTGGTGGCTGAAGATCCATCAGTGAGCAGAGTCCATCAGCCATCCTCCTCAGCAGCGGTGACCGGGGTGAGATCCCGGGCGGTGCATTCTGCCATGAAGTTGGCGAGTGCTTGGCCTTTGATGGCCGGCCTCGGTTTTATCTCGATGTGGTAATGGCTCAGGAAAACGGTCCATTTGACCATTCTGGCTGAGCTCATTGGGTTCCGCATAAGTTGGCCTAGTGGCTGGTGTGTGAGAACATGGATGTCATGAGCCTAAAAATAGTGAGCCAGACGCTTCACGGTCCATACTACTGCAAGTACAGTCTTCTCTACTGGGGAGTATCGGAGCTCGGTATCGCGTAGTGTTTTGCTTATGAAGTAGATGGGCTTTTGAGCTCCATCCTCTTCACGAATTAGGACCGAGCTCACGGCCCTGTGGCTGACGCCAAGGTAGAGGTATAGTGTTTCCCCGTGCTCAGGTTTTGATAATACTGGCGGAGAGACCAGGTATCGCTTGAGGTCATCCAATGTTGTCTGGCACTCAGGAGTCCACTGAAATTTTGCAGACTTCCTCATGATTTGGAAGAAAGGTAGTGCACGCTCAGCCAATTTTGAAAGGATTCGGTTGAGGGCCACCAATTTCCCTGTCAACCTTTGAACTTCTTTGACATTTCGGGGTGGCTCCATATTGAGTATGGCCTGCACCTTCTCCGAGTTTGGTTCTATCCCACGCTGGTTGATCATATAGCCCAGGAATTTGCCCCCTTGGACTGTAAATGTGCATTTCTTGGGGTTCAGCTGGAGGTTGATCTTGTTCATGATTCTGAAGATCTCCTCGAGATCCTCAGCATGGGTGTTGGCTTTGCGGCTCTTGACTATCATGTCATCCACATATGCTTCCATAGTTCTGCCGAGCACAACTTTGAAGAGCCTGGTCACCATGCATGTGTAGGTCGCACCTGAGTTCTTGATCCCAAACGCCATGACCAGATAGCAGAAGATGCCTTCTGGAGTCATTAATGCCGTCTTCGGGGCGTCGAGTTCATTCATGAAAATCTAGTGGTAGCCCCGGAAGGCATCCAGGAAGCTCATGAGCTCGCAGCCGACTGTCTCATTGATGAGTTGATCGATGTTCGGCAGTGGGAATGGGTCCATCGGGCAAGCCTCGTTGAGGTCGGTATAATCGACGCACATACGAAATGTTGGCGGTTTGGGTGCCAAGACAACATTCGCTAGCCAATCCGGGTATTCGACTTCGGCGATGTGATTTATGCTTAGGAGCATAGTCACCTCAGCCTTGACAAATTCCCTTCTATCCGTAGACAGGTACCGGTTGCGCTGTTTGACAGGCATCACGTTTGGGTCCACGGATAGCTTGTTCGTGATTATATCACGACTAATCCCCGACATTTCATCGGGGCCTAGGGCAAAAATGGCCTTGTACTTAACAAGAATAGAGATAATTGCTTGCCTCAATCCTGGCTTTAAGTTTGTCCCGATCTAACAGCTCTTTCTGGATTGGATTGGTCCAGGATGACAGTCTCTAGTGCGCCTACAGGCTCAGCTTTGGGAGTTTCCTCCTCAAGCGCAACCTGTGAAATAGCGTTGATGCGCATGTCCCTGGCTGCCATTCGCTTTGTCATCTTCATGTAACAGGATCTGACTATTTTCTGGCTACCCCTGTAATAGCCGACCCCGGTCTGAGTCGGGAATTTCATGCAGAGGTGCCGCATGGAAATTACTGCTTCCAAGTCCTCCAATGTTGGCCTTCCAAGTATGACATTGTGGGCGCACTCGAGTCGTACCACCACGAACTCCACAGGGATCCTAGAATGGTGGGATCCATCCCCGAATCTTAGGGTAAGCTCAATAGTGCCCTCGGCGTCTATGGAGTCACCAGTAAACCCGGAGAGGGGAATTCGGATGGGCCTCAGAGAGTTGAGATGGAGGTCCAGCTCGTGAAATGTCTGGATATACATAATGTTGACAGAGGAGCCGGTGTCAATGTAGGCGCGGTGGATGATGGTCGCGTCCACCTCGCATTTCACCACTAGAGCATCCCTATGGGGAGAAAGGAAGTCTGGCAGATCACGGTCGGTGAATGAGATCACGTCCGATCTCGCTCTCTTGGCAGTAGGTGGGGGG